ATTTACGGTCGGTTTTGAAGTTCGATACTATAACAAAGAAAAACGTACGTATGAGAAATTTGAACAGGGAAAACTTTTACAAGTGAATTTGCTTGTAAACTTAGAAACAACTCTTCAAGCTTTTCAAGAAAAAATAAACGATATCTATCTCGAATATGCAAAACAGTACAACATTGACGAAGGAGAGTACCATCTCGATATTTTATATGACAGGAAAAATGCAACTGTTAAAATCAATAGAATAGAAGACCTTGGAGAAAACGTTTATATTTCTACAAAATATAACAACTTGGCATGGTATAGATTTTTGAGGATGTTAAATCAGCCTGCAGCATATCCAGTACACCCGAACTTTTATGAAGTCGAAAACCCTAATGGAACGTATGAAAATGTTTTCGACTCAGATGCTATTATCGTTCATGCTTCATTTTCTGGTGCACAAAACTCTTTTTTATGCTTGGCAAATGACTTTTACGAAAAACCTACAAAGTTATACGAACCACCAAGTGGAAGTATTTCAGACTTTCAAGTATGGTTTACTACAGATGGAAGAAAAAGAATAATTCCATTATACCATGCGTTTTACTTAGAACTTAGTTTCATATACAACTACTATCGAACGGTAAAAATATAATTTTTTAATACGGTTGAGGTGTTGGATTTGGTTGCCAACTTGACTGTGGTGCAGGTTCAGGCTGTTGTATAACAGGAGCTTGCTCTTCTGGTTCAGGGTCTTTAGGTATAATACCAACAAACTGACCTACCCTTTTACCAATATTTTTGACTCCGTTCCAAATTCCTTTTCCGACAGATTTTATTCCATTCCATATACCTCTTCCAACATTTCGAAAGAAGTTTCCTATTCTTCCAAAGAAACCCATTTTACTATATGTAAAAATCTAATGTCCGCCTAGTCTCTTACGTTTCCTGTTGAGTTCCATGGCATTCTTTAACTGGAGCTCATACATTCTGTTTCTCCTCTGGTAGAAAACTATTCTGGGTCAACTCCTGTGTTCGCGTCATCTGCATAAAGTTGTTTATATCCCACTTCAGGGTTTGTATAAAACTCTTTCCATCTCATATTTGCATACCATGGTGGCAAACCTAACGCAGCGTCATTTGACATGGCAGTTTGCATTTGTACATCTGTTGGCACTTGACCATAGTTTTGCCATTGCAGTTTGTATTCTAACTTCATTTGGAATATTCTCTGGGTTTGGTTGTCCAGGTTGCTGTGCATTCGCTAAGTTCTGTGCGTCCATTTAATATTAGATAAAAATATCTCTTACGAGTACATATACTGAACATTTGCAGGCATTGGTTCATCTTCATATTCTCTGTATTTTTCTGCCACGTCAAAATAAATAAATGACACAATGGAAAAAACCTAAAACAAGTAGTCCTATTTCAAACCACATTTACTTACTAGTAAAATTTCTTTGTTATGACACTTTCTCCGGTTTATAGGACCTCTCTCATATTCTATCTTGTCATATCTAAACTCATAGTCATGTATGTCCTCTAACCATCTCATAACGGTTTCCAAACCACTTTTATCGGATGTAAAGTAAAAGCATGGATGGTTATGTATAACGTCTAAAGTTTCTAAAGAGTCTCTCAAAGTCCAGTCTACTTGGTATTGAAAATCGCATGTGTTATAGAACGGCGGGTCCACTATAAAGAAAATATTTTCCTTGTCTTTATATTTTTCATACAACTCTGTCCAATGACATCTCACAACTCTATACCCTCAATATATTTTTCTATGTCCTCTTTGAAAACATTTGTATAGTTAAGATATAAAAACTTTTGACATAAGTGTTTCAATGTCATGAACTCTTATAGAACCACTATATAATAGTCTAGCAGATATACTATCCCAGTCTATATATTCTGCTTTTTTCAAAACTTCACCTACAATATATTTTTTATCTAATGGTATACGTTCCATCTTACCTATAGGTATCTTTTCTTTTAATCTTCTTCAATATATTGTTTGTGTCTGGTATATGTTTGAGACGGTCCATATAGTTTGTCGAAGTCATTGCATATAATCTTTGAGTCTGGGAATATTGTATGGCACAAATGGGATATATAGAAACTTCCACCGAACAAATCTACAAATGTTAGACCATTCGGTAGTTTCTTAAGTTCTCTCAATAGAATATCTTTACATCTACTCTTATTTCCAAAGAAGGTAACGGTGGTTTTGTAAAATTCATTTTATATATATAATAAAAATGTTTTTACCTGAAAAGTGACAGAAAAGTGACAAAACATTTACGAAGAAGTCTTGACAAAACATTTACGATGAAATTCATGAGTTTTCTACGATGTTAGAAAACATGTTAGAAAACGTGTTAGATCTAACATGCTAACATAAACATTATTTTTGGTCATTTACGCTCATTACGAAGAAGTCTTGACAAAACATTTACGATGAAATCATGACAAAAAAGTCAACGGCTGGTCGGCTGGGGTTCGGTCCTCCTCTTGGGTAAAATTTCTTATGGGCTAGAAGGGGCGCAGCCCCTGGAAGCCCCACTTCCCTTTTTTTTTTTTTTTTTTTTTTTTTTTTTTTTTTTTTTTTTTTATTTAAGTTGGCGTATCTTACGTCCTTCCACATATTTCTTAAAAATTTAAATTTGTCTCATCTCCTACTCTTAATTTAAAAAAAATTTCAAAATTCATAATAGTAAACATTTCTTATTTTTATTTAAATCTGAAAAAAATAAATTTAAACAATTTCTCTACACACGACGGTTTCGGCGGTTTTCAGAATGGTTGACAACTGAATTCATCAGGATAATGTCGGTTGGGGTGCCCTTCTTGGCCTCCTGAGTACTCACCAAGATACCCCCAGCTCCCGCAAAACACCTCCCATAGGTGAGCATTAACTGATGAAGTTATTGACAACTTTATCTGATTTTTTTCTTTGTTTTTTTGTTAAGATTTCTTAACCAAAGACTCGAAAACAAAAACTTCGCTTCAAGTTGCTGTCTTCCCAGTTACTCTGTCGCAATCTTTTGTCTGATTGCGTGCAAAGTTCTGCTCCTTTGAGACTTTGCCCGACAGATGCATCTGGGAGACAGCACCCAAGCAGCTTATCGCTTCAAGTTGCTGTCTTCCCAGTTACTCTGTCGCAATCTTTTGTCTGATTGCGTGCAAAGTTTCTGCTCCATGAATTATCAAATATGTGCCATTTCAGGAGAGATAAAAGCTCATGCCTCCTGGAATGGCGGATTGTTCAACAATCTTCTTCTGATTGCAGAACTTTCAACCGACAAGAGTGCACAATACACTCTTGTCGGTCAAAGTTTTGCAATCACATTCTGATTGCAGAAGATTGTCTCATTCTGGGAGACATTCAGAGGCAATGTCTCCCGGAATGAGCACTGTGACGACAAGAGTGCACAATACACTCTTGTCGGTCAAAGTTCCGCATTCAAGTTATGAATGGGGAACTTGATATCATTCTGGGAGACATGCAGTGACAATGTCTCCCGGAATGAGACACTGTGAGCGACAAGAGTGCACAATACACTTAATGTTTTCAAATTTTCAGATTTAAATTTAATCTTTATTTTCATCATCATTTATAGTCTTGTTCCTTTATACAGTTATAATAAAATTATCGTCAGATTCTAATATTTAAGATTCTTACTACTCAATTCAAAATAATTATGTTAGTCACTCATATTCAGGAGAATAATTTAAAAATCTATAGCTCATATTTTGATAGTTATATATTTAGATGATATATATTGCAATTCCGGTTTCAACACGATCAAATGCCAAACCAAGACAAAATATATGAATTTTCAAAATATCGATTTACATTAGAATCTATATCTAATTTTATCATACAACAAGTAGTGAATGTTCAATACATCTTTGAGCAACGTGAATAGCACAATTTATAGGATTATTAGTTGATTATATAAAATATAAGCCAAATCGAATCTGCTGTATAGTACTTTAGTTTATCATTGAATGTTAAATGTGTTCAGATAAATATTTGAGTCAGATATCGCATTTTCTAATTTCAAAATTTATCTCATGAAGTTAGAATTTATTTGATCATACAACATCATGTTAGTCAAACTAGAGTTCAATGGCGATTCTAAAATGGAACAAATGCTTGTTTTATCAAAATGTTAAAATATTAATCTAAAAAACTTAATATCTAACCAAACCATTCTAGAATTATTATATACAGGTATGGGCAATCTAAATGCACACGGAATTCGGAAAATTAAAAAGAATATTTATGAGATTATTAAATCTTATGTAATTCAATGAAAAGTAGATAATATGAATATCCATAGGCTATATATCAACATATGAGTTTTTGGTTTGACCAATACTATACTAATGTGATCAAATTAATCTGATTTCTTAGATTTTCATTTGAAGCATTTGCAGTAGTAGGGGTACCTTTATATATTAACATATTAAAAAATTGCGCTCCGATTCGCAGTTTCTTCATGATTTTGAGATTGCATTAGATTTCGCGATGGCAGAAAAAATCACTTTAGATTCCCGTCAACTCTAGTATAAGCATGTCTCTATATGTAGAAACTGTCTGCGCTATTTATTTCCCGGTTCAAAAAACCACGGTGTCTGTGTGAGGAAAATACCCATTTTAGGACCTTGGGTAGGGGGTCATGAAAATTTTCCAAGAGTTGGAAATATAGGGTAAATGATAAGATTTATCTACTTGGTTAAGGATTTTGATTGGAGAAATAACGGTATCTTGATGAATTCTTACATCATTAATAAATATACCGTGTAAATTTAAATTAATTCATTTAATTTATTACGGATCAATGATCACCTTGCAGGCAAAGCATCACATAATATCGGGGTTTCAGTCAATTGATATAAATATATAGCTCCAACATTGCATTTCACCATAGGATATATTGATTACTGATTTTGTCACAAAAAATATCGAAGTCTGGTTATGAAAATGTAATCAAGAATATCTATGGATCATTTTATTCTTCTTCTTCTTCATATTCTGAGTAATCGATGTATTTAGATAAGAATTCTGTAATTTCAGAACACTGACTTCTAAATGCTTTATCATATGCTGAAATATTATTGTTATTTTTTACATTTACATCACAGCCGAGTTCAATAAGAACTTTCACAACTTCCAAATCATTATTATTAACTGCATAAAAGAGTGCTGTTTCACCAGAATCATCTTTAATATTAATATTGCAGCCTTTTGAAGCCAAGAACTTTATAATTTCTATATTCTTGTTAGATGCTGCATAATGTAATGGAGCCTTTCCTTTTCTAGATCTTTCATTTAGATCTTCTCCGATTTCAACAAGAAATTTCACAACTGAAATATTTCCAGAACCTGCAGCAGCTGTGAAGCAAGTGTATTTCTTATCATCATTCATTTTTTGATGAATCAAGTCAATGTTGTCTTTAACAATATGCTTGAAAAATGATGTGTTATAATGTAAAATGCAAAATGAAGGCAAAATACTTTGACATTTTTTGCCGTATAAATCTAAAATCCACTCAGCAATTTCGTTATTATGATATTTTAGAGCTCCTTCAAGATGTTGTGAAAAATCACAATTTTTCTGTCTTAGAATTTCTAATACTTGAACATTGCCACCTCTAACAGCATTCTCAATTGTGTCACTAGTAATAATGGCCCCATTCATTACAAAAAACTTGAAAATTTTTGGAGAACCACACAACGCGGAAAAATCAAATTGAGTTATTTCTGTGTCATTAATTTTGATGACTTGTAGTGCAAAAACTAAAGATGTGCTTAAGAACTTCATGCTTTCAACATCATCTCTTATTATTGCATAATACTGAGGCTGAAGAGATGGTCTATATTCGTTGCTTAAAATTTTTTCTTTTTCTTTCACAAAATTTTCTGCTTTATGGAATGATTTCACTTGATCTCCTAAGATTTCTTTCCAAAGATGAGCAAGACTCGTCCAATGCAATCTTCTTCTGTAGCTTGCATAAACAATTAAATTTTCGAGATAACAATTAATCAAATCATTGTCCATTTCTTGTATGAATTTAATAGTTTCGCATTCATTAGTTTCATTAATCCCAAAAACTTTATCTTCTAATTGACAAATACCGTCTAAAACATTAAAATCTTTTTCCATAAATGTCACTTTTTGTTTCAATAAAACCATGGTTGTAATAAATAGAATTTTCGAATTGTTTCACTACTTATTTCATTCTTAAATAAACCTATCTATCTGAAACAAATGCATCAATTGGGTTATCATTTGTTCAAATAAACTTGAAATCATATTCTTTGCGTGTAAACCTTTCAATTCGCTCAAATTTTGAGTCACAGACGTGAAGAATATAAAAACAATCCAACTGGAGAAGAAATTTTACGCTGAAATTGAAGCTATTATCAGATTTTCATCAAATATTCATTTGGTGAACTGTTTTTAAATGCCACTCTTGAATATAATGAATTTATATAAATAAAAATTAACTTTACAAAAAACTTTCAACCTGAAAAAAATTACAAAATAAAAATAATTAAAATTATGCTGAAACACCATCTCCTGAATCAATTAGTGCATCATTGTCATCATCAGATGATGATGATCTTGAAAGCTGATGAGATGCCGAACCAGAAGTAAGTTGTAATGAATCGCTGTCGGAGTTAGAACCAGAATTTGACTTCTTTTCTGATTCATCTTCATTGCTCAATTCATATGAAACAGAATTATTTTTGTCGCCCATATTCAGACTTCCACTTTTATTATCGATCTCTCCGATTGCAGCGCTATCATTATCAATGTTGTATCCAGAAGAATTATTGTTTTCTTCGCCTTGGCCAATCGAATAATCTGCACTATTGTTTTCTTCAACTTTTGGCTGACTATAGCTTCCAGAATTAGTCTCAACTTCTTCGTTGATATCTAAATCACTCTTCATTTCTTCATTGTCGCTTTTAACTTCTTTGTTGTCACTTTTTGATTCATCAATGTCACTTTTTGATTCACTGCTGTCACTTTTCGCAATTTCATCACTTTTTGCTTTTTCTTCACTTTTTTCTTCTTCTTTCTCATTTTTCTGGTTATCTGAATATTCATAAGAATAATCAGATGAAGAAGGGGATTTCTTGATTGCTGCTGCATCGAAAAGAACCTTTGGCTTGTTATCTTTCTTCAAATCTTCACCCAAATCGTATTCATTTTCTGATGAATCAGTATACTCGTAGACATCAACGTATTGAATAATTTCGATGTCACAATAGTTTCCATCACTTGTAGGAGGTTCTAAGACTGGTTCTAATTCTACGATTTCTGTTTCTCTCTTAACTCTTTTCGCGTCTTTCTTCAGACGGTCTTTGAGTTCAGCTGCAAATCTTTCATCTTCTTCATCACCGAGTTCTTTTGCTCTTCTTGCGAGTTCTCTTCTTTTTTCTCTAGCTTCTCTCTTCCTTCTTAGTCTTTCAGCTTCTTTATCTGCTTTTTCTCTTTCCAATCTTTCTCTTTCTTCCCTCTCCTTTCTTTCCTTTTCTTCACGTTCTTTTCTTTCTCTTTCTTCTCTTTCCTTTCTTTCTTTTTCTTCACGTTCTTTACGTTCTCTTTCTGCTTTTTCTTTGGCTTCTCTTTCACGTTTTTCTTTCTCTTCTTTTTCTTTTCTTTCTTCCTTTTCTTTTCTTTCTTCCTTTTCTTTTCTTTCTTCACGTTCTTTTCTTTCTCTTTCTTCCTTCTCTTTACGTTCTTTTTCTGCTTTTTCTTTGGCTTCTTTTTCTTTTCGTTCTCTTTCTTCTTTCTCTCTCTTCTCTTTTTCCTCCTTTTCCTTACGTTCTCTTTCTTCTCTTTCTTTACGTTCTCTTTCTGCTTTTTCTTTGGCTTCTCTTTCACGTTTTTCTTTCTCTTCTTTTTCTTTTCTTTCTTCCTTTTCTTTTCTTTCTTCCTTTTCTTTTCTTTCTTCACGTTCTTTTCTTTCTTCCTTTTCTTTTCTTTCTTCACGTTCTTTTCTTTCTCTTTCTTCCTTCTCTTTACGTTCTTTTTCTGCTTTTTCTTTGGCTTCTTTTTCTTTTCGTTCTCTTTCTTCTTTCTCTCTCTTCTCTTTTTCCTCCTTTTCCTTACGTTCTCTTTCTTCTCTTTCTTTACGTTCTTTTTCAGCCTTTTCTTTGGCTTCTCTTTCACGTTTTTCTCTTTCTTCCTTTTCTTTTCTTTCTTTCTCTTCTCTTTCCTTACGTTCTCTTTCTTCGCGTTCTTTTCTTTCTCTTTCTTCTTTTTCTTTCTTCTCTCTTTCGGCCTTTGCTTTTTCTTCCCTCTCTTTTCGCTCTTTCTCTTCCTTTTCTTTCCTTTCTCTTTCTTGTCTTTCTTTTTCTTGTCTTTCTTTTTCTTCTCTTTCTTTACGTTCTCTTTCTGCTTTTTCTTTGGCTTCTTTTTCTTTTCGTTCTCTTTCTTCTCTTTCCTTCCTTTCCTCTTCTTTTCTCTCCCTCTCTTCTTTTTCACGTTTTTCTCTTTCTTTTCTTTCCTTCTCTTCTCTTTCTCTCTTCTCTCTTTCTTCTTTTTCTTTACGTTCTCTTTCTTTTCTTTCCTTCTCTTCTCTTTCTCTCTTCTCTCTTTCTTCTTTTTCTTTACGTTCTCTTTCTTTTCTTTCCTTCTCTTCTCTTTCTTTACGTTCTCTTTCTGCTTTTTCTTTGGCTTCCCTTTCTTTTCTTTCTCTTTCTTCTCTCTCCTTCTTCTCTCTTTCTGCCTTTTCTTTCGCTTCTTTCTCTGCTTTACGTTTTGCCTCTCTTTCTGCTTTCTCCTTCTCTTCTCTTTCTTTTCTTTCTCTTTCTTCTCTCTCAGCTTTTTCTTTGGCCTCGCGTTCTGCTTTTTCTTTGGCTTCTCTTTCGGCCTTTTCTCTTGCTTCTCTTTCGGCTTTTTCACGGGCACGTTGTTCGGCTCTTTCTTTGGCTCTTCTTTGTCTTTCTTTTTCTGCTTCGATCGCTGCTAGACGTTCTTCTTCCAACCTCTTAATTTCATCTGCTTTTGCCTTCTGATAAGCAAGCCATTTAGCACGCTCTTCTTCTATGAGTTTCTGAAGCTTTTTGCGCTCTTCATCTGTAATGTTGTTTTGTGATAAATCTAATGTGTGTAATGCACGCTCAGCACTCCAATTTTCAGGGTCTTTGGGTGGGCGAGTAATGAATTTGCGAATTGCAGCTAAGTTGTCGTTTGTCAGGCCGCAGTTAATGAATTCAACTGCTGCAAAATTATATGGGTCAAGTTTCTTAATATTGTTATTGAATTTATCAGTTTCAATCTTAATGTTTTGGAATGAGAGTAATTCGAGCGGAGAATTGTTCGTTTCAAGTGCATCAAAAAGTTCTGATAAGTTTTCTGAAGGAATATTCATATCACTGAGACGTATTCTTTTAATACGCTTAGCTTTTGGTAAAACTTCTTTTAAGATGACGCATAAGTAGTTTAAGTAGTTGGGTCTTTGATGATAAATCGATTGTTCTATGATTCTCTGATTGTGTCTGTTCTTATTTAATGATGATTCTTCTTGCATAGCAAGATTGCAATTAAAACGAAGCTCATCAACCTTTTTATAGACAAGATTAGATAACGGCCAGAAGAATTTCTTGTAATATTTAGCAGGAATTTCGGAGAAGTCATACGTACAAAGGTGTTCGTCTCCATTACCTAATTTATAGAGTTCCTCTATTGTGAATTTCTCCTTTTTCGACATTATCAAATTCTTGCAAACTGAGGCGTTATACACAACTTTTGTATTTACATTTCATAAGAATTGTAAAGAGAACAATGCTTCATTGTTTGAATAACACATTTTAATAGGGATGAAGCAAGCAATATTACAATAAGATCTTTCATTTTTAGTAATAACGAATTTTATAAATCTTCAAATCTTGTGTAATGCGATCATACCAAATTTCTATCAATAAAACGTGTGTAAGAATTGTAAATTCTGTAAGCATAGATCTGATTTTACTGTATTATTGTGATATAACACTATTAGCAGTTTAGTAACTGCAATAACCATAATTCGCTTATAGCATGATATCATCATATCTTTGTATTATTTGGAACTGAGATATTACTTAAACTGGTGACTTAGTACTTTATAGCTTGTGCTTATAGAAGAAACTCACATAATATTGAGGTAGAGACAAATATAGAACATCAATGCCACCAATGCTCAAAGGAATTGCACTCTCCTTTCGATATATTTCAAATTATACAAGCAAACTCAGCAATAGCATATTATATCAAAGCATATCTACTAGCATAATAGAACATTTGATAAGATCAATTCCTTTTATAGTTAGTCATCAAATTCTAACTTATCCAATGTGGAGAAACTTTACAAATTATTTCTCGATAAAGTCACCTTTTATAACACGTTAAAAATTATTTTATGGAAAAGTTAGATATCCCTCAAAAAGCGATATCTGATTTTGCTGGAACATCTCCTGATAGTGCTAGAGATATTATAGGCTTTTTCCATCACAATTTAAGTCAGCATACTAAAGAAATTGCAGTAATTAACACAGCATTAGCAGATTTAGCGAAAACAAGAGTCGACAGCGAGTTCAAAGATAATGTAACTTCATTTATGGAAATGAATGAACAAAAAATAGAGAGACTTTCAACATCATTTAAATTGCTCACTAAACAAGTTTTTCATAATGACGCTTCTGTTCAAAACATGATTGATATTTCTATCAATAAGTTCGCAGAGAAACTAACTGTCGAGAAGAATAACCAGGATAATAACGAAATTATAGATAAATTAACAGATAGAATAATAGAACTCGAAAGAAGCAATGCAGTGCTATTAGAACGAGTTGGATTCCTTGAGAAATTAGGAGTCCCAGCACAGCCTGCTGCAAATCAGGCTCAAAAGAAGAAAGTTATGTTTACAAATGTAAATAATATTTGTATTTTTGATTGTGCTCCATCTGAACTACAATTTGATAGTCCAGATCACCGAATGAGCTTTCAGAATGCAATTTATGCCCTTACAAAGCAAAAAGAAGAACTCAAAGACCTCAAAAATATAATAAATGAGAATAACAAACGATTTGGAGGTTTCATTCAGATGTCACAAGATTCATTTAACAATATAGATGCGCACATCAAGCAAATACAAGATAATTCTGCAGAAAATTTCAATAAAATTTACAAAAAGTTCGATTTATACGTCTCCAAGGAAGAACTTAATTTCGATCTTCAAGGATATGGAATTAAAAATTCACCTTCTCTAGGAAAAGCCCAAAATCTGGGACTTACGAGACCAATGACAGCTATTTCAAAAACCACGTCGTTTGAACCATGTGAACAATCACAGTTCATGCCACCAGTGTCAGTAACAATGATTTCCGGTGACAATTTGACTCGTCCTGCAACTACTCAAGTTGGAAGAGGAACAAGATCCAACACAAGGAAATCTAGGTCAAAAATAACATCTCACTGATACAGTAATATTATTTTCTTTGTTTATATTAAATGTTTGAATTATATTTTTTATAAAAATATATTTTTATGGAATTCATAAACGAATGATATCTACCATGAATGTTCTGGCCTGGAGAAGTAAAGTCTTTTATTTCCCAAGTTGTACGTGTTTATTTGATCAGATATTAAAAATTTTTAAGTGATTGTAAAAAGAAGGAGTTAAAATCTTGTGAAAAAAGCAAAATAATGATATATTGATAATATCTATAGCCTATATTTTTAATTTTAAATAAAACTCAATTTAATACAATCTAAATCAATTTGTAAACAATAACTCTACATTTAGAATAGTTTTTAATGCTTATTTAGTAAAACTAATCATATTCTAGCATAGAATCAAGTAAATCTTCAAGAATATGAGCTTTTGCGATGTTCTTTATATGATGTGTGTTTTCAATGTTTTCAAGCCAATCTCTAAGATCTGAGTTTTCTGACATTTCCATAAGAATTTCTTCAATTTCTTCAGATCTCTCGAATTCATTGATACATAAGAAAGCATCGAGTATTGGTTCATATAAATCAGTATCTGTCACAATTTCAATGTTTCTTGATAAAGCAGTAAAGAATCCTCCATCAGGAAGACTGTTTTGTATTTCAACAAATGTATCCCGATCAACATCTATTCCTGATATAATGAATACCGCAATAAAAGTTAGAATGGCGATTCTCCATTGAACTGAAATTTCTTCATCAACTAAAACTGATGTAAGCTTATAATCATAACTTAGATCATGGTATGCCTTGAATATCTGTGGAAATATTCCTAAAATTTCGGTTAATAACTCTGTAATTACTGAGTTTAAATAATTATCTTCATAATTAAAGACATCGTCTATATATTCAAGTAAATTATTTTGTAATACATAATCACAGTATTCTTCTTCATCTTCAATCAAGTCGTTTATCATCACAATTACATCTGATATGGAACCATATTTTGCTGTAAGCATATCCTCATTGGAATCATCGTCTGCTTCTGATGGATTGCCATTGTATATGTAAAACATTTTAATATCAAAGTTATCCTTGAAAAATTGGCAAAATTCATGATTACTATGAACAAAATTACAAAATGCACGAGTAATATTAGACGCAATGATTGCATCTATTTCTGGTTTGATATATGGTTTAAATTTTAGCATTAATTGGCAAACAATTGGAATTTGATCTAAATATGTAAATTGATCCATTGTTAGATTTGCTATGAACTGGGCAATTAAACCAGCAGATTCTGCCTCTAATCCATCTGTGAATACATCATTTAAAGCTGATAAAAGATTTGTTTCCATCATTATCTTTTTTCCAATTGGATTCCTTGATAATGGGCCTAAAATTTCAACAGCCTGATTGCTTGGAAAATTAGGAATTATCATTTCTATTATATTACTATTGATTAAAGGTTCAATTATTTCTTCACTCCTTTTAGAATGCAAGAATCTTATTAATAAATCAAATGATTCCGTTTTTAGTGGTTCAAAATTGGATTTGCAAAAGCCAATAAGTGCCAATATAAATTCAATGGGACATTCTGTGAAAATATGTGGAAACATTTTATTAATCCAGCTTATTGCATCTGTTATTTCTGTTTCATTATCTCCTTTTGACATTTCTAGATATGTACTAAGATCAGATAAATAATTTTCATCAATCGGCTTATTATCTATATCAACTTCATTTAAAGTTGAAATATCAGCATCTGTATTATGTTTGTTCTTTTCTTTTTTGTATTTGATGTCATCCTGAGGATCATTATCCTCCATACAGAGTTTTGAAGAGAAAATAATCGGCAAAATATTGAAATCCTGATCGGTGTGACAAAAAAATGAGATGATTTTCAAAGACATTTACAAAAAGAGAAAGTTTCCTAGGAAGCGTTGCTAGTATTCAATAATACAGCATAGAAAACTCTTTTAATTGCATTATGGAAAGACTATTAAAATGCATCAAATAATGTAAACTATTCTGCAAACATCGTAAGTATCTCTATTTTAAACAATGTAAATAGGCACTTTCACCTATAACTGATCATCTGAGAAACTGAGACTGTGTCAGAAAGTGAAATACCAAATAAATTAAGATAAAGTTAAATAATTTACATTAAAATATTAGATGTGTCTGAATGAAATAAAACATATAATATATAATTAATAAAGTAAAGTAAAATAATATTACTTCTTACGTCCTGTGTGGTTTTCATCGCCACATTGGATCTCTTCGTCTTTACGAGGAGCAGCCTCAGTTTGGATAGAAACGTTCTCTTTCTGTTTGACAAGGATTCGTTGACTGCAAAGACGGATTGTACCGTAGTTCTCTGACATACACTGACCGAATTCGTGCATGTGAAGGCTAGTATCGCTCTTGAATGAAGCAAGCATGTTCTTGAATGAGTCATGGAACAAATTGTGGAAACTCTCGTCAATACCAACTGTGAAGCCACCTAAGTCAAGAACTAATGAGACTGCATTTAGAAGCTCTGCACGTGATGCATTCATCAAAAGTTCACTTGCATTCACAGGTTTCTTATCATTGATGTCTTCTGGTGGTTTGATTGAACCAACTTCAAGAGAAAGCATCGATGCAACTTCAAGATTAGTCTGTGAACTGTTTGCGTTGCGACCACTTGATAAGTCTCGATGTGGACGTGAGCGCTTTGGCTTCTTCTGACGAGTAGCAAGTGACATCATAGAGACTTCTTCTTGGATCGGTTCTTCCTTAGGAGGAGAAACATTGACTGGAGCTGGTGGCGCTGTCTCTTCAAGAAGTTTCGATGATGATGTGATGTCTCGTGAAAGAAGATTGCGAACTTCATGTTCCGATGAAACACCGGACAAAAGCTGTTCACCAAGTGAACTTGTGACATACATGATCGTTCGAACAATATCTTTATCGATGTTCAACATTGTACTAGCAATACTGTGTGCTTTCGATAAATCACGATATTGTGTGATCAAGTCAACAAATGACTGTGAATAACCACTTCTGTGTTTCATCATTGTCAAGACATCTTTTGCAAGATTAGAGGACTCTTCCGTGTTCTTCTCAAGTGAATCTTGTGCGGATGCAACACGTTCGAAAAGATGCTCGTTTTCGTCAAGAAGTTTATCAAGACGTGTTTGTGGAGCATCAGAACGAGGTCGACGTTTCTGACGACATGCACTGATGTCTTGCATCAGTTTGGAATTGTTTGTCTCCATAACTTGGATGAGATCGCGAAGGATCTTAAGACGATCGCGTTGATCTTTCGCGTTAACAAGTTGTTCGGATAATTCATCACTCGTTGAAGAAAATTCTTGTTCGTCGAAATGGTCTGGTTCGGTTGAGAAACCTTGGTCGTGGCAGATGATATCGAAGTCAAGATCTGATTGTTCGATATCAGGAACTGTAAAATCGGAATTTCGGAAGTTTTCAAGTGATTCATTTTCGAATTCAATGCCTCGTTTGAAAACAGATGAAAGATTACGTGCAACAACGGGTGACATCTCGGCAAATTTACGACGACGTGTGAATGCATCTTTGATATATGACTTTTCTTCATCGCGAAGTTTTTGATTTTCTTCCGCAAGTTGTTTCTCGCGATCAAGGAGACCATAGACTGAGCCGAACTCTTTAAGAATCAAATCGGTTGATTCTTGGCTCTGTTCGACAATAAGTAAGCGTTTTTTATATGCATAAGCCATTTCTTCAAGTCTTGCTAGATTAAGATCGATTAATGTAAACAGGTATTGGTCTGGTGAATCTTTAAGTTCGTTAACTTGTGATAATTTGTTTGGGCAATTCACTGAAGCAATTTTTGTTAATTCTGCTTCTGAACTTTTAATTGAACGTTCAATAGTTGCTTCACTTCGTCTTGATCTTATTAAATCTGCTTTGTAGTAAAATGATGTATTAGTTTTGAGAGTATCACATGTATTTTTTAACGTTTCCATTTGTTTTTGCATTTTATCCAATTCTGCTGCTTTCTCTGCACTTGATGCTAGAATGTTTTCGAGTTCTTCGTTCTGAGGAATCCACATAACTCGCATTTCTTGAAGAATGTCATTCTTTTCCTTTAAACTAGTGGAAGTTAATGCTTTATTTACAAGAGATGTAATCTTTTTCAGCTCAGGACGAGAAAGAGGTGGTGGCGCTAGAGGTGGAAGCGCTTTCCCTGTGTGTTTCATCCTTTTGCTTTGATTGCTAAAAAACACGTTTTTTCATTCATCATTATCGGCGTGTAGCGAATTAATACACCAATAACCTGACAAGATACAAAATCTACCTAAATGATGATCTTAAGATTTTACTGGTTTATGAAAAATCTAAAATTGTATAAAAGTTAATTTATTCAAATGATTTTTATTTATGGATGTCCTGAATTCAATTGTTCTTGAAGATATTCGTAAATTTCCTCTGATCCAATTTCATTGGCAAGATCAATAGGATATACTTTCGAACTTTTCTTTCCAACATAGAAATTAATGTAGGCACCTGCTTCTACAATTAATTTAACAAGTTCAAGATCTCCGGCTTTTACAGCTAATGTTAATGGGTTGTCAAGTCTTAAAGGAAAGTATGAGCTGTGATGATCCCAAAGATGAATTTAAAATGAATTTTATGAGTGACTAAAAAGAATTACTGAGTGATAAGCATCTGCACCTTTCTTAAGGAGAAGTTTCGAAATATCAAGCATGTATTTCTCAATTGATAAAGCAAAAACAGGATAAGTTTTCAAGTCCCTCCTGATTTCAGCGTTGACATTTGCACCATTATTGATGAGTAATTTTGCAATTTCGCTATATCCAAAATCGATGGCGGCTCCAAGAGGAGTATAAACTGCTTTAAATGGTCTGATGTAATCATTATAAGAGCTCGATGTGAATGTGAATTCAACTTTGTCTCCTCTTTTAATTAAATATTCAACGCATTCTTTTCTCGGATGGCAAATAGCATAAACAAGAGGAGGATACTTGAATTTGTATTGTGCATCATAGTCATCATCACTATATGTGTTTTCTTCTGATTCTGAATCAACATCCAAACCTTCTTTTTCTAAGTTATCTTTCTCATCCAAATCAAGTTTCTTGTCAATGAATTTTACTTGTTCGATATTTAGATAAATGATTGCTAAGTCCAATGGGTTGATTGGATACTTCATTTCGTTGAGCATTTTGTAGTCACCTAAACCATTCTCGATGAAAAAGTTTGCTGCTGCTGTGTTTCCTTTAACAAGACAATACAAGATATCAAAATTCATCAATCATTTAACGTTTTTCAAAAGCCAATCAGCAACATCATTTCGATGCGATTTGATAGCAAATTTCAATGTGTACTTGAATTCTTCTGGTTGTTGCTTGAACAAGTAGTTAATAATATCAAAGTTGCCTCCTTTGATAGCTTTTCTGACGATTTTTGGATCTTCCGAAATGTGATCTTTCAAATACATAAAAATATTAACTGAACCGAACTCAGCAGCAAGTCCAACGTGAGATTGGGAGGAGTTGGATGGGGGAGATACTTCCATTTTAGTTTTATATTCCTCGACATCATCTGATTGAATGATTTTGCATATTTGACTACTATATTGAATATATAGTTGTTTAAGATCATTTGGAATAAGGTACGGTTTACTAACAGTGTTATACACATTACAGAGGAAAATGGATTGCATTTTGTTTTGAATTCTTTCTGTTACAACAGCATGTGTGAAGCTATCGAAAATTTTCTTTGATATAAGGCCTTCGTTTATGAGCTGCTTTAAATTTGTAATGGAATCTTGAGAATTTTCAGAATTAATATTCCAGAAAATAGATTCTGCTTGATGAGGACCTTCTAAGATAAATGGGATTTTAAGTTCACATATTGATTTAAACTTTAAATTCTTGAAAGCTGGAATCTTTTTACTCATTTTTATTTGAAAAAGTGTACGTTTAAAAATACTTTTCGATTCAGAATCACCATGAATTAAGTTAATTCCTGGTTGGCTGACTGAGATATTGCAAAGCATATCTATACTTGAGTGTTTATTGACGACAACAAATTTCCTTACTGTGTTTTCTTTATCAATTTTCGAGAAAATAGAAACCAAATGCATGAGACTTGAAAAACAAAATTTTTCAAATTAGCTGTATTAAAATTTAATAATTAAATACTTTCTCCTAATATAAGAATCCCCTAAAAAATTAACAAATTTGGATAATTTACTTAGTTTTTCAAAAGATTTTTTTAGCATACTATATTGAAATTTGGTAATTTTAAATCGATAGTTAGTTATAATAATAAACGCATTACTTAATTTATGATGTGTTTCGGATATTTTTCGAAGGTTTCTCTGAATAATTTTCAAATTTGCTTGTGTTTATATTTAAAACATTTATATTTAGACATTAAGATTAACCAATATAGTTGATCTTGCTTGTCAATACACACAACTGTAAATTATAATCAATAACTAGATTTAAAGTGAATCTTTTGAAATATTCATTATCATTTAACAAATAGCTCTTGCACATATTATAATTTATTATGTAATCTCATTTGTTATATAAACTCGTGTATTGTCTCAATAATTTTATTCTCAAATTATATATATTCTAAAGAAAAATATGAACAAAAATATTAATATTGTAAACAATAGTTTTAATAAAAATGACCAAATTATTCAATTTTGTAAAACAAAGCGTTATATAATAATTTTTTAAACAATGAGAAAAAGAAATAAAGATAGTGGTACTTCATGTAATACCGAATTACTTAGTTTCGCTATGTAAATGGCTGGATTCTGGATGTTGACCTTTAATTTCTTCTTGAACGTGTTGTGTATTTGGTTCATTAGATTGTGTTTGAATTTTTGGCTCATGACCATGCTCATTTTGTTCTTTTTGATCAATAGTTTGTTCTTTATGTTCCGTATTTTGCTCGATATGTTCTTGTTCTTTTTGTTCGTTCTCTTTAAGTTCTTTTTCTTTCTGTTCTTTCTCTCTTTGCTCTTGTTCCTTTTGTTCTTTCTCTTTTTGCTCTCTTTCTTCTTTTTCTTTTTGCTCACGTTCTTTTTGTTCTTTTTCTTTCTGCTCCTGCTCCTTTTGTTCTTTCTCTTTTAATTCTTGTTGCTCTTTTTCTTCCTTTTCTTTCTGTTCGACGTATTTAAGAATTGCAATCGAAATCTCTCTTTCAACAGAAAATGGGAACTGGAATAGTTTAAAGTCAATTCTGTAGTATAGCATTATAGGAACTAAGAATAAACAATGCAAAAGAACCCAAAGGAAGATAGTGTCGCCTAAATAGTATGTAATGATAAATAATGAGTAAAGGGCAAACATAACGTATGCGACTGTAACAAGGTTGAAGTTGAGAACACTTTCTTCAAAATAATTAATTAATTTTCCAAAGAAAATGTATCCGACGCCAGCAAATATGCTTATTTGATGGATTGTAATAATATCGTCCGCCTCTTCGTAGTCTCTGGATTGAAACATTTTCGAAAGATTTCTAATTCCTTTGTAAATGTAAAATCTTGCAAGATAAATAATTGAAAACAAAGCAATAATGGAATATGTAGGGAGTCGAAGTTTTGTAAATAAAAAGTAAAGGATATTGATTGTGGCAATAAATATAACTGCGCCTTGCCTATTATTTAACAGCAAAACGTCTTCAATAATATATATTTCGTTCTTAAATGGTGCTAATGATCTATAATATGAGATGGCAATATCAATGGCTGCTTGATGATTACTCATTGAAAAAAAATCTTACAAATCGTGTCATCTCTTTAGTTTTTTTGGACACTTTCAGGTGGAGATGGAAGGCTTTGGGGTACATATTAATACAATATACCTCAAAGCCTTCCATCTCCACTACAAATGGGAGAAACTTTGTCCGAATAGTTTGACATTCGGACAAAGTTTCTCCCATTTTGAGAAGGAATTGGAGGGTAAGAGATATACCATATGAATGTATATCTCTTACCCTGAAATTCCTTCCTTAAAGTCAAAAAACTTGAAGTTAATTGTTTGCAATTAACTCCAAGTTTGTTGACCTCCAAATGAAAATGAAAGCGTAAGAGGTATATAGTGACCCTATATGCCTCTTACCCTTTCATTCTCATTAATTATGGGAGATACTTTGCCTGTTTGATAAGTTATTCTGGCAAAGTTTCTCCCACTTCTGGAAGGAATTGCTACCTATGAGGTACTGGCGTGAAGTCAGTGCTTCACAGGTAGCAATATCCAAAAATTTAAAAACATTTTATCACTTCGTGAGAGAACTAGAGTCTTCTAGGTACTGAACCTGAATCAGTGCCTAGGAGACTCTAGTTCTCTGTATAAAGCTGAGAAACTTTGAGGAAATTGTTCGACATTTCCTCAAAGTTTCTCAGCAATTTAGCGGGGAATGTTTGTTATGGGTATATATTTGTAATGTATACATAATAACAAACATTCTCCGCTATAAGAAGTAAAATTTTTGCATATTCATTAAATATTTCTTGTTTTGTATACTTTTCTAGTCCATTTACCGACAGCTGGATGCATTCAGGATTACCAACTAACATTCCTAGCAAAATTTTAATTTTTGTTTCTTCATCTAATGGTTTTATTGGGATAATATCATCGGGTGGAGTTATCTGTTCTCGAGTAAGTTCAGTTACTGTCAAATGTGGTCCATGTATTTTTGTCTTACCTTTTGTCATAATTTCTCATAAAAAAATGATCAAAAATCATATTTAAATAACATATGTTCATGCAATGATTGACCTATACAACAATAATTGCTAATAATGAGCTAGATTTATTTGATATTTCAAATTGCAAAACTTCAAAATGTATCTAATAATCATTTAAATCACTTCTTAAAGGATTATCAGTACTATGTAATAACAAGCTCAAACAGAATTTGTTCCAAAAAAAATTATCAAGGGGGATGTAATGATTTTTTAGGGTGTTAAAGTTCAAAATCTATGACCTTATCGGTAGATTATGTTTGTGAAAGAATTGCACTTCTCCAAGAGAGAGGAGAAGAATTAAAACAGAGAGAAACAGATTTATACATGCGTTTTAAAAATTTAGCTGCCGATTACAAGCAGATTTCAAATGATGACCAGATCTATCAGCTCCTTCAAAAATACGAGGAGCTTAGAATAAAAGCACATAACTTACGCGAAATGGCTCAAACAACTCATCAAGTAAGCAAGAATTCTGAAGAAATCCAAAAACTTTCTGAGACCGAGCAGAAGTCTACAGAATTTACATTCGATCCATTGCACCTAACGTATTAGAGATATGAATTTTGTTTTAATTCCAAAAAAATTATAATAACCTGTTATTATCATCATGAAACAGTTCAACGAAGCAGTTGTTACAACTATGAAAATTGCAGATAATTACAGAGAAAAGAGGCGAATACAGGCAGTCAAGAGATGTCTTATTTGATATCTATTGCCAACTTGAGAATCTTAATCAACAGTTTGATGATCATTTACTCATCTATGTTGATTAAACCAATGAAAGAATATGACAGAACTATTTCTGCATTCCTACTTAGAAGAGTTTCTAAGATGATGTTTTCGCGGCGAATATTTTGGCTTCAACAGTTGTGGAGTGTTCCAGTGCCAGTTATATGAAATCTGCTTTTGAAGTTGCAACTAAATTAATTGCTCCTGAATACGAAGGAAAGATTAACCTCTTCAGATTGTCCAAACAGTTAGATATAAGAACGAACTACTCAATGCTCTGTTTGCAGTGCTAATATTCCTATCTCTGAATTGTATTGTGCTTCTTGCAAGACTAATATTCATTACGATATTATCACAGGTATGCGCATGACAAAGAACGACTGGTGCCAGTGTCCAAACTGCAAGTTCCCGTCTTCCCAAAAGTTAATGTTCGAAAAAAAGACTTACCAGATTTGTGGAACTCATGTAGAAATACCAGAACTAATACAAAATCCAAGAATTGTATAAAAAAATTGAATTTATTTGATATAAAGAATTCTTTTTATTATTATTATTATAAAAATATATCTTCGTAAACATCATAAAGATCCATCATATATAGGATCATTATTTTTTGCACCATATGAAATTAGAAGTTCAGCTGTTTCTTTGCTATTATTATCTATTGCTAAATCAAGAGCGGTTTCTCCTTTGTTAATTTTTTCATTGACATTTGCACCATATGAAATAAGAAGTTCAGCTATTTCTGTACAATTATTTATTGCTGCATAATGAAGAGCTGTATAACCATAAAATTCCTTTTCATTGACATTTGCACCATGCAAAAGAAGAATTATTACGTGCTGCAATTTGAAGGGCGGTTCCTTCATATTTATGATTTTGAATGCAGTATGTTTGAATCTCTTTCTGATGATATCGAAGAAGAAGATGAATCTCTTTCTGAATAATACGAGGAATACAGCATTTTCATAAGAGATGCTTTTTATTTCATCATTTTACTATTTTTTCGAGGGGTATATCTAATTTTGAGAGTTCCTACTATTATGAGAACTCCCCCCCTCCAAAAAAAAAACTAGCAATTGCTACTACACTCATTTTATATACAATTCGATTTTTTTCCACAATTCAAATTTTTTTCCACAATTCAATTTTTTTTACAATTTGAAAAATCCAGGATATAATTCGAAGTGATATTGGGCAAAAATAATTAAGGCAATATCAGATACCGTAGCTATGAAGTGCTATGTTGTGGTTTGAAACGATATTATCATATTTTCACTTATTAATTAAGATGGAGCTGAAACAAATCAATATTTTTCATTTCTTAAATGCATAATGCTATTTTTTAAAAAATCAATAGCCTCTTTTCGATAAGAATATTTTTGAAATTTTTATTTTATCGATAAAATATCAAAATTGGGAAATACAATAGCATCAATTTTTCAAATTTAAGGTCTCAGTAAGCTCCAGTTTTAAGGAAACGGATACTTTAAAATTTAAGAAATAAACACATATATATTATATTATTGGGAAAAAAATTAAGATATTTAATAATAAGAAATTATGTCTTAATTTATTAAGTTGATACTTTTCATGTATGATCAACTAAATACCAAATTTACAATTATATCAAACTTAATGTGCCATCCATACTGTATACGATTAATATTTAAAATTTCGAATTTCTAAAGATTAATATATATTTATATAGAAAAATAGATAGATTCTTTTTCACCGTATAAATTATGAGCCAAATGGTCTCTCCTCATATTCAACTTCTTGTAGATATTGAGGAGCTTTATTAAGATGCTTATATTCATTTTGCATTTTATTATTATATTGATGTGGTCCTACAAATTTGAGATATTCATTAGATGATTTTATGCTTAAAACTGATTTTATTCGAGGCAGAATGCTCAAAGAAATTACTTTAAGTTACCTCACCTTTATGAACAAAACTTAAGATGGAAAGATCGAACCAGGGCGGTCTTTGAGTAAACCGGCCTCGAGGATGGTTTGCGAAGCTCTGGTCTTAGCAATGGCCAGAGCTTGTGATTTATTGAAGAGCCAAGTTCCTCTCGGATCGGGCCTAATGAGGACGACAGTCGAGGAACTTGGCTCTGAGGTGATCAATTGTATTAATTTTGTATAATATGAGATTATGAATTCTATATAAGACATAAGAATTCTAAAAAACACATAGAGGAATAATCCTATTAGTATATGCTGATATTTCATCGTTGACACCAGGCTCAATTCCAATATTTATGTTCCAAAAACGGAACGTTAAAGGGAAATTTTCACTTCACATCGTAATAACACAAATAAGTCAGCATAGGGAAATAATAATGAAAACATGTCGCTGTGAATGGAAATCCAAGCATTAATGACAGCATTTATAAGATATGTTCGTTTTACATCTGATTCTTTTCTTTCGAAAGAAAAGAATGTTGCCATCATCTGAATTTACATATTTTGTATAACAATATTTTGCTTATTCCATTATCATGCATTTTGAGAGAATAAGACTGGGGCAAGCTCAGGTGATGTGAAAATCTCCATACCACAAATGGACTTTTTTAAATTTTTGATGTGTTGATTAAATCTTCCCTTAGCTTGTCACGTTTTCTGCTCAGAATAACTTCTGCTGTCATTTGAAGGGGCGTGTGGTAAGACGAAATGGTGGAAGTGAGGTGAACTGAAAAGTGACGGATGTTTGGCCTGCCAAAAGACTTATAACTTTACATGTCAAAAATCTGATTACTAACTTTAATATTGCAATAAGTTATAGCTTGTATTATCACCGTCATATAGATAATATTCTTAATTTAAAAATAAAGTAAATGAAATTTATTAATTTACTTATATCTTTGGTGAGAGTTTTTTAATCGAAAGAGAATATATGACATCTTGAAGAGATATAGTTTTGAATTGGTGGAGAAGGAATCAAAGGAATTAAAGAATCAGGAAATTTATTCAACAATTCAAAATCATTCGGCCAAATCAATACGAATAATTTTACCGTTAACTCGAGCAAGTTATCTTGTATACAGAATAAACATTATATTTTATACCATTAAAATTATATATTTACGTTATTTGAATTTTTGAAATTTGCATTAGATCATATTATTGTAGAGATGATAGAAAAATCAGTGTTTACAAATAGAAGGCGTAGATGCTGAGGAGTTAATATAATCAGCGTCACAAGTTGTTCTGCGAAGGGCATCAATACTTTGAGCATTGCAAATCCTTATGCCAAGTTGCTCAGAAATATGATTTAACCAGCCTTTGCTTGGTTCTAGTACATAGTCTTTGAGTTTCAGGGCTAAGTTCGGGCATCCTTGCCCAGATCAAAATCCTTGAGGCAAATCTTAGACTGTAGTCATTAAGCTCGAAAACAATTGCCTTCGCCATGGCAGTAGTTATACAACCCACGGTATGTTTAAAAATGGAATTGATTAAATTTTGAGAGTTTGAAGAAGAATTTGATATTTTTAATTAATTGGAGCATTGGTAAAGTAACAATACAATTATTATTTGAATCATCATATCCAGACTATTCAAAAAAGAATTCTATAGATCCATTTGAAGTCCTATGATCTACAATACCTTCAACATCATATTCATCATCTGATTCTTCATATGAGAACTCTTCATCTGTCAAAATTCATTTGGCAATTATTTTATTTTTTTTAACTTTTCAATTTCAATTTAATGCAGAGCATCTATCCTAAAATCAAGATAAATCTTTGTCGATAAAATTCTCCAGCTGGTCATTTACCATCATTACTTACCATTAAACAAATAATCAAAACAAATGAACCACCAGAATCTTAATTTTTTATATTAAGAGATTTAAATTTTTAAAGATATATCAGAATGGAAGGGTGGGAGATAGCGACAGAATTTTCGAACTTTCTATTAGAAATAGGAGACCACAAAGCACTGATTATATATCAATGCCTTGTAAGCTCAATTTTCTTACTTATGAATTATTTGTAATAAAATTTTCATCTATTTTTAGATTTTTAAAAAACAATGGTATTTATATATTTAATATTATATAATTAAAATAATTTCAAAAATTGCCGAGTAACATAAGAGTATCGACCTCTTTTTGTCACTTTTGTAAAACTCATTTTCGGTGTGGAACAGAACTTATTGAAACTAAAAATGAGAGGAAAATTGAACTCTGACTTAATCCAATTAGCAAATAAAAAATCTTAAAAAACTAGAAGCATATAATAGATTATAAATTCAAATCGAAAATCCATATTGATTACAGCTGAGAAGAAAGAATACCAAGATTTAATTGAAAAAAAAAGTTGAAAATCTGATAATATATTCGTTGAGTTTGATTCCACCTGTTTCTATATATTTTTTTACAATCATCAGCGTTCAACAGGCTTATACTTATGAATGCAACAAATGAAGTCAATACTGTCGGTTTAATTCTCGGAATTCTCTGATCAGCTTCCATAAGGAGTCAAAAGGAAGAAAATGTATTGCCGGAGACCACTTGCTGACATAACAAGTCTGTACGCTACGTTTTGATTTATAAAATTGAAAATTGGATGAAGATCTAAGATTTGGTTGATCTGATCAGCCATTTTCAATTGAGTTGCCTTTATGAGAGGATAAATATAAGTTGCATGCTGGATCGGTCTCAAGTCTTTCGCTCAATGATTTGAGAGGAGTCAGGAGGAGGACCATCCCCTGGAGCAATGTCATATAGTACTTCAAGGATTGCTTAAAGGCGTTGATGAAGTGGAGTAACACCGTCAATGTGGGATCCATCAGAAAATGAACAATTTTAGCACTGTTCCTAATAATCCAGATGCAAACAATGCCCATGACTCCCCAACCAGTATCAACCAATGAAGGAATTGTGATTTATAATATTGATGTCACCTTTTGAATACTAAAAATATTCACGATGAGTTCGATCTTCATACAGAAGATATCAAAAAGGTGACGGTCTCTTCTGATGTCATTGATAGCAAGATTGAGACAATGGCATCCGCATGCAATTGCCATAAAGCCGAATCTTTGCGCTCCTGCTCTAAAGACTGTCCATTGGACGCTTAAGTTATCAGCTTTAGTTTGTTGTAATTATCGGCATCGCTGTAAATTGTAAACCCCAAATGCCATTATAAATTTGGGGATAGTATTGATCAAATTACATTCTCACGCTTTGGTGTTCAATGAGAAATAGATACCGAAGCATCTTTTCAATTAAATCTAACAAAAAAAATCCAACATGCGGCACTTTTTGTACTTTAAATGTTCTCATGAAAAATGCTCAGCAGAATTTTTTTTTGGAAAAAGATGGTATTTATATTTTTAGAGGGTGCTCTTTAAATCATCATCACACAGAAGAAATAACAAAGAAGAGAAATATTATTTCTTATTATATTAATTTATCTTAACTCTCAAATGCATATTGCTTTCTAATTTTTCTGAACCCCATCAACACATGAACTGCACACCAATGAAGGATAACTTCAGGAAAAGAGCTCATAATAGCATTTTATATTTTCTGAGCACAATCTGACATAAAATATTTTTGTTTGTTTTAATCATCGGCATCGAAATAAATTAAATGGTTTGGAGACTTGCTCTTTGATGCCCTTAAATATTTGAGTAGACCTGAATTTATTATCATCGTACTTTCAATACCTTTGATTTTTATTGTTGCATGCTAAGTTCGGTCAACGATAGAAATTGAGTGTAAATTAATCGTCGAGGAAGTACGATTATGTAAAGTAAAAAAATGTTGTGGGATTTTTAATATTATATATTATTTTATAATAAAATTTTTTGAGTCATTTTAAGAAGCACATATAATTTTTTGAATTTAAAAATTAAAGTAGTGTCAAACGAATTTATCACTTAATTTAATACTCAGATTTCTTAAAATTAATGAAAAAAAGGTTTTCTGAGAACTTTTGAGAATGGTTTTCAAATTCCATTATTGAAAATATATAGGTATTGTATGAAATTCAAACTCTATATTTATTAAAATTCTAAATTTTTAATAAAATAACTTTTCAGAGGAATATGATTTTGAATGGTTGATTAATAAGTATAAAAATGTCTACGATTTTAAGGAGAGAATTGTTCCGTATGAGGTATACATCATAACTATATACCTCATAAGGAACAATTCCCTCTTGATAGCTGGGAAACTTTCTCTGAATAACTTATCATTTGGAGAAAGTTTCCCAGCTATCTATTAGAAACTAAAGGCTGTGAGGCACTAATATATAATCAGTGCCTCATAGCCTTTAGTTTCTTATTAAAAACGAGAAAACTTGTTCGAAATGATAAACAATTTCGAACAAGTTTTCTCGTTTTAAGGAGGGAATTGTTCCTTATGAGGTATACATCATAACTATATACCTCATAAGGAACAATTCCCTCTTGATATCCTGGATATTTTTGAATATATTTTTTTAATTAAAGTTCTCAAAAGTATTATCAAAAGTGATTTTTTAAAAATATCTCCAATTAATTAACTAATTAAAAGTATTATATTTTTAAAATTAAATAGTTTTTCAATTTTTTGAAGGAATTGAGATACTTCCCACGACAATAAAATTGAGAGGTTTACATTATGACTGATCTTAGCATGCAACATTATTACCTTTTTCCTGAATTGTTTTCATTTGATCGGAAGATGCATTCAAAAAAGATGGCTTGTGAAGTGGAACATCCAGCTCAAGTTTTTGTCAAATTCAATTTTATCCATTTTCTGATCACCCCCTATTTTATAAAATTCATAAGATCCCGACTATATAATTGTAATAATCTGTGGTATTTCTTTGTATCATCTTTTATTTGATTGTGATTATGTGTTCCATTATATTTTATTATAATATATTCTTCATCATCCTTTAGAAATTAGATACATGCTTCACACTGATCTGAACAACAGCTGAATTTGAATTTTGTTTCCTCTAAATTTCGATTTTTTTTTAATTTATATGGACAACCAGCATGGTATTCGTTATCAATGACAGCTTTCATTGCATAAATATAAGATAGCCTTTCTTTAAGTTCGTATGATGCATCGATATGAAACAGTATGCTTTCAGCCGCAGCATTCACGTCTCTAAAGGCGAAAGATTTTTTCAATTTAGATTGGGAGAAGACTCAAAATGAAGTCTTTACCTTATACACCAGAAGAACAAGAATCTTAATTTGAAGAAATTGAAGAGGAGAAAACAGACTCCTCGGAAGTCGAAAACAGCGATGTAACATACATCGCTTAAAAACGTTACAAATAAAATTTTTCAATTTTATTCTTATTTGTAAATTTCTTTTTCGAAATGAGATAATCTCGAAGAGTTTTTTTTGAAATCATGACCCTGAATAGAAAGCTGAAGGATGCTATACCAATAGCAAGAGTCTGTATGAGTAGCTTCTATAGTCTGCTACATGTATGAGTCTTTGCTTCCTGTGCGAATGAGTGTTTTTGAAAATACTGAAAACAAAGTCGTTAAAGTCTGAGCCTGAGAGGAAGAAAGAGAGAATCTAATACAACTAGCAAGAGTATATATGAGTATATCGATCATGCGATAGTGTTAGATTTCAAAAATCTTTAAGAGGCGGCTTTTGAAATCACGACCCTAATTAAAAGCTGAAGGATGCTATACCAATAACAAGAGTCTGTATGAGCAGTAGCTTTAGTCTGCTTCAAGTGCGACTCTGTTTTCCTAAACTTTCATTGCCAATCACATATTTTTAAAGGTTTTTATGAAATTTCTGTCCTTAATTTCAATTAAATTTTTTCACTTATTCTTCGTGCCAAATATATTTTTCTGACTTTACAAAAATTGACATATTTCTAATGAGCGCCAACACATCTGCTGTCAAAACTCTTGCCATTCAGAAGCCAGAAGTGATGGAAGAACAGTCATTTATGATGAGGCAATTCTTAATGAAGAACAGCGCCCGAAGCCTGAGATCAGGATTTGGGATCACGAACCTTCAAAGCAAACAGTTCGCAAAATCGATCCCGTCGATACTCCTCCGAACTACTTTCTCGAGGAACTAAAGCTTAAGTTGGCTGAGAAAGTAGAGGAAGCGAAAGGCAAAGAACTCTACACTAGCCATTTTATCTGAGAAATAAGTTAGTTGTAAGTAATAATGGAAGACTTGCAAAAACTGTAGATGACTCTAAAAGAGGAGTTATAGCAGGAATATTAAGTTATAATAGTAGAACAGATAAATATAATGTTAAATATGAAGGTAGTATCCAAACCAACACACTTAGATCCAATGGAAAGAGAATCTTTGAAAGATAAAGAAATTCCAAATAAAATTAAAAAATATTTCTAAAGCGAAATCATAAACTATATAATAGAAATTTAAAAATAATGTATTTATTAATTTTTATAAATTAAAAAAATAATTTTGGAATTCAACACATTTAAATACCTATTTGATGTTGTTGGCACATTTTGCCGCTTTGTAAAGTCAATAAATAGTTATTATTTTAAATTAAAAATATAATAACTAAATATAATATCTATAAATATATTTACAAATAATACTTATTTTAAGTTTAATTTTTTTTGGAAAATTTTAGTTTGTCGTCATGGTCGAACATAAATTTAATGGAGCAAGAACAGGGACAAGAAACATTAGATATTTGGCTATTTGAGAGAGTGAAGAATGCAACAGTTGTATTAGAAGTCTTATATACCGGGTTAAGGGATTTGACACTTTACGTTGTAAAGTGTCAAATTTTAAAAATCATTTTTGAGCAAGATAAGATGCAATTTGAGTAAATTTAAATTCATACCTCCTCCAATTCCTAGCAAAAATGGCTAAAAATTGAGTGCAATGTCAACAATTGCACCCAATTTTTAACTAATTTTGCCTTGCAACTAAGTTATTTGTATAACAAACAGCTTTATTTAAACTAACCTTTTGGATTTAATATTTCACATAAAATACATTATATTGTCAAATTTGACATGTAAAGCTGTCACTTTTTGTAAAGTATCAAATCCGTTACCACATCTACCAATCCACCGTCCTGGTAAGGTGGATGTAGTCCGCACCATTGCCAAGGAAAATCCAGAGCAAGTTTCAGAACAAAAGCGACGCCTGCTCCTCCGCATTGCTTCTTCTGGAACATTCCGCATAATGGCACATTTGGGGCAATTTAGCTAACTGCCGTAAGCTTTGGTTCGGAGAAAATTAAGAATAATTATATCCTTTGAATAAACATTTTAATTTTTTTAAAATATTTTTTAAATAAATTAAAATGGAATATTATAAACCACCATTGGATTTTTGGTAATAAATGTAAGTGCAGGGATATAATTATAAAAGAACTTAGAAAATTACCAGAAGGCTTAACATTTATAGATTTATTCGGAGAGCTCATTTTATATATCTTATTTGATTTAATTAATTTTCCCAAATATTACTATAATATGTAATGACTTCGACAATTATATGGAGAGAATAGAATTAATTCCATTAACAAATAAATTATTAATGAAATTAAAAGAAAAAATAAAAACATGTAAAGATAAAAGAATACCTGTAAAGAAGAAAAATATAGTAAGATAAGTTCTTTCAAAAGCCCACTATATTGACGGGGATACTTATTTGGTTTGTGCATGCATTTATGGCCAATGCAGCGTGCTAACCAGCGTTCCACCATTTCTGCCTTCTCCCGCCTTGTTTGCATATATGCGTAAGTGACGCATTGCCATTAAATATTTTTGAATTTTTTTTAATTTTATTGTGCCGATGCCAGAAGCTGAAGGCTACGGGAATAGCAAAATAAATATTGTACTTAGTACAACGAAAAAACATGATTCCTAACATAAGTATTGCAATTGATGGAAGTTGGGATCACCCTCGTAATGGTGCTCATTGCTTGATGACATCGATAGATATGAAAACAAAAAAGTTGTCGATTATTAGTTGGTTGTTTAACTACGAAGGATCCTCTAATGGAATGAAAACCAATGGTACCAATTGGCTTTATGATTAATTATGTATTTGTAAGTTTTTCAGGCCAAAGTCCTTGCGAGACCGTAAGTATGATCGACTATCATCCCAAATTTAATTTTTCATCAAAATCTTGAAAAAATACCACTGTATCTATTGTCAATACACCTTCATGTGATACAATATTACATATAACCCTAATTCAACTCATCTAGATATCTAGTATATATTGCGTTATTTATTGATGAAAAAATTTTCGGAAAAAATGATATTTTTTTCAAAAAAATCTGAAAAATGATATCTCCCCCAGATAACTGGGTCAGATGAATCATGTGATGATGAAAATTCTCATCCTTAAGAATTCATATCTGATGATTCATCTGACTCTGATTTTATTGGCGATGATATTACATTCTTTCAATTTGTAAGAGGACCTTCACCTAAGCCCATTGATCATGAGCTTGTTAGGCCTGTCCATAAGTTGCATGAGACATACATCAACCCAGATGCCAACAAACAGCATGCATGTCTTGGTATCATAGCAACTTATGAGACAATTCATAATGATATAATATTTGCGAAAACTCATTATGAATCCTTCAAGCTCATGAAGCAAGGAGATCTTAATGTCTCCACAACGAGTGATTGGTTCCAGTCCATTGAGCAGTATAAAGAACTAAACCATATCAGCAAACAACTTCCTGCTGAGCTGGATGATGAGTTGGCAATTTTTCAAAGTTATTAATCTGTCATATAAAATTGCTTTGAAATGCAATTTATACTCGATTTTTTCAGCTTGATCCTCCGATCTCCCATGTTTTTCTTTTACGCCTAATTGTTCTTATCTGATGATTTAAAATGATATCTCAAGCATAAATTGCTTGTTGATGCGTCAAATTTTTGATTTCTAATTGCTTCGAACAATAAACACATTGGTAAAATCCATAGTTCTTCATCAAAATAATTAGCATTATCTAATGAAAATGAAGTTTCCACAGAAAATAAGGAGATCGTAAATTTATCGTTTTGATTTGCATATTTTTGTTGATATAAACAATTTCCTGGATCGCCCCCTTCACATATTTTGTCATAAGACGAAATGCTGAAAGTGAAGTGATGCTGAAACCTTAATATTTCCTCGAAATTTCTACCAAAAATATATTAGACATAAACCAAATATCTTTTTTTATTAAGAATTGTTGAATAATTACTTTAGATCATGGAAAATTAACATCGACCGAAAATGTGACATTAGTGTGGATTTACACGGGAATGGTAACTCTATTCTACAAAATCTATATGTTTTTGGTGAAGATGAGAATATAATATAACCCTAATTTGCTGTGATTGAATGATATCTCCTGGAACGACTATCAGCTTTGTTTACATTTTTGATTATATCTGAAATAATAATTCGAACATCATCTGGGACAAATGAAGCAAAGGCTGAATCTGCCATTTCCTCAATTTGAAATTTTAATTTTTGATTCTCCGCCTGTAGATATATAATTTTCCTATTTTTATTTATAATTTCCATTCACTGCTGTTGTCTTGTTAATTTTTGGAAATAGGATCGCACATGAACAAAGAAATTATATGGATAGTATTAATATTTTGATATGAGTAAAAAAATTGATATTTTTTCACTTGTAACTTTACATATTCTATTTGTATTACTATCCGAGTATTATTTAACATCAAATTCTTTATATATTCATTTAATAATATCAACATATAAGTGCTTTTTCTGTTTAATTGATTTTGATTGAAAATCGTATAATAATTTATACAACATACCAAATATCTATCAATGATAATGTATATTTTATCGAATGAATATATTTTGTGAACGTATACTAATTGTACGTGTACCTTGTCTGTGAATGTTAAGACATAATATGGTGAGTTTAGTGTAGTATTCATCTGTTTTGCTTTTGTTTTGGTATGTTGCGCTTTGATTTACCAAGTTTTATATGTTAGATATCTTGATTTGGCTTTTTCTAACAAATAACACTCGAACATTGTACATATTCGGCATCTGTAATTAGTTTAGAAAGTTTCGATTTTAAAATTTAGATTTTAGTTATTAAATTTTAGTGAATTTAACTAGTTTGAAATAATTTGCATACTGTTTGATCAATTTCTATTCATGATATACTCAGGTCAAATGAGTATAAGGAGTCTTTCATGAAATAGCCTAATTAAAGGGACGAAAATAATTGTGCGTCATAATGGGAATGACATTTCAAAATTTTGGCCATTTTGACATAATTTGAGAGCAAATACTGTATTTTTGTCAAAAAAGTGTTAAAATGGCCGTAATGGTAGCGGTTTGCTGTCAAATGGGATATCCAATCCCACAGCAAAATGGCGTTGTTAAATCTAGAATTACTCTTGATGAAATTCAGTTCAAACTTTTCTTTGCGTCAGAAAATTCTGATATAAATCTGACAAAATGACATTGCCCCAATACAATCGCAACTGATAAGCGTTCGCCGATCATTCGCGAAAGGTAGCAGGTTCAGTTCCAAAGGAATCAAAACAGGAACAAATTCAGAGCTACCCCTGAAGAAAGGGAAAAAATTAATAATATCAGAAATGAAAAGCGTTACGAGTTACATGCGCACAAAGTGGGGATTATACTTTTTCGACGAAGAGATAGGAAGTTCCCGTTCTTAATTTTTTATGAAAAATTTTCCTTATTTATTTTTTATCGGTTATTAAAATAGTGTAATAATCTTTAGTAAACATGGATTTAATAATGAGTTAGCGAGAAAGTTTTTTTAACTTTTTCAAAGAATATCAATGATGTAGCGTGATGGAGATCAGTCTTGAGGATTCTTGCAAATAAACTCATAATTCGAAATTTATATCAATTAAAAAAACATTTCAATCTTACTCAATAATCCTACAAATGTAAAGGCTATGTACGAGATTTATATCTATTAACTTGCAGAGTAAACTTGTAGTTTGAAATTTACATCAAGTAAAAAAGTTTTTTAACTCGAATCTTAGAAGAATCTGTTACTAATGCATTTTTACGAAACATGTTTGTTCCTCCGAATTTTTTTTTCATCTATTACAATTGAATTTTTATGGATTTTGTATGCGTGAAATTATTTGTTTTTAAAAATAGTGAAGATCCCATTATATTATATAAAGATTTTTATTATTATACTCTGAGAAATAATTTAGAGTATTTAGTTAGTATTCTACCTTAGGAATGACTGAAGTTACATATGCTCTAAGCAATTATTGATATTAAATACTGTTCAAGTTTAAATTCGACATCATATTTAATTTTCTTGTTAGGGCAACCATTTGTATATTTTAAAAAATATTACAGTTATTGTTCGATCAAATAATAATAGTTATTCTTTATAGTATTTTTGGTTCTAAATTTGAGAACCGCTCACAAATAAGTTTTTGAATCAAAAATAGAAATAACTCATCATACAATTTGTTTCAAGGTCTCAAATTTAAACATATATAATAATAGTATATTATTAATATATCTGCGCTTTCGGATGGCATCCTTAAATGAAAAAAGCTGCAACAGAACAAACTCAAACAGATTGATATTTTATTTCTACAAATAAAGAGTTTTCGTGAAAAATATCAAAATTTAGAAAATCTTAGTCTAAAGAAAATTATCGAAAATTCCAAAGATTTAGATGATAAAACAAACGAATTTTATATGTCTGATAGAAACGCTTTATCAGAAAAATTCAATATATATTTTCAAAATGTGAACCAGAATTTAAATATTCATTCGAATGAAATCAGATGTTTTCATGCAAAATATTTGTTTGGCATTGATTTGTCAAAGAAGCCTACTTACTATAAAGTCAACAAAGCCTATAGAGCGTTAAAAATTTTGAAACCTCCACTTCATAAAATTCAAAAACTAGTAAGATGCAGATATTGTGCCAAATATATATATTATAATAATTTGGCATATAGACAATCATTACTTAAATCATGAAATTTGGAGTTATCTTTTTGCAATTGTTGATGATTGTTCAAGTTATATCATAGATTTTCAATATATGAATCAGAAAACATCATCAAATACATCAAATGTCATAGCTAGAGCTTTTGCAACAATCCATCAGAACTCCAGGAATATTTTATGAATTACGATAATAAACCACATACATCATTACCTATTAATATGTTTACTGACTGCCACTTTACACCTCAAGATTATTATAATTTCGAGAAAAAATGGGAAATTCATCATAACTGGTTTGGTATATCGATTGGCACGAGCATGATTTTAATGACGTTACAAAAATGCCTAATCAACGCTCAAGATATTTAACAGATTGAATCTTTTTTACAAAAAATTTGAGAAAAATTACTATAACCTTGTTTCCATAAAGAATCAACATCAAGTATATATAAATTTTTCTTCTATTTACAAAAAAGAATTCTAAATGCAATTTGATGTTATAGAAAAACTTGAGATTTTGGTTTGGAATGAGATTAACAATTAAGTGCTGATCTGGAACCAGCGCATCATATAATCCCCTTCCTATAAGAAATTTAAGAAATGTGACAATTGCGAGCATTTTTAGCCATTTTGGCTGGGAATTGGACGGTGTGAGTACTATTGTATGAAATAGTATCTCACACCCTCCAATTCTTCCTATGAAGCCGAGGTACTGATTCTATCTATGTACCTGGCAGACCGTAGTTCCAAGCCAAAATGGCTACAAATATTACAAATACATGTATTAGTAAGTCTTGATGCTAATAAATCTGGCTACATCACAAAAAATTATTTTTAGATTGGCTTATCATTTTACAGCTTTCATCAATAGGAATCTAAATGGGGTGCGCCAAACTCACTACTTTCTCTTAGATTCGCATATTTCACGTCGTAATAAAAAAGCATTAGAGCTTTTTAGAGCACACAATATTGAATTACTCTTTCAGCTCATTGCACTCATGCTATGTGACCATTTAATGCTTTGACTGCCCATAGCTATAAAACAAAAACTGATAGCGTTGTGATAGGACTAAATGATAGAAGTGAAGTGTTTCTCAATATTTCTTTACAAAATTCGATATTTTTGCATGGATTTCAATTGATTGGAATGTATTCTATCTGGTTATCATATAAAATTTATCTTCCTATTGCTAAACCAGATGAAATATGCACTTTTAAATTATTTTTTTTAAAAAAAATCATATTTTCCATATTAATATATTTAAAGGAAGTCTACCAGCTACATAGAGGGAAATAATACTTATGATATAAGTATTTATAATGTAAGAAAACTAAAGTAATTTCATTTATTGAAATCTTGTACTTTCCGCATATTAAATTGTCACTTTTTGTAAAGTATCAAATCCATTAACCTTTGATACTTTGTCATCTTAGCCCGAAAAAATTTTAAAAAGACGATAAAGAAAATTTGGAGTCTAAATTTGAAATATTCGTATAAGTTCTTTCTAACTCATGTTTAGTCTTTTCCTAAAGATAATCCGACGTCAGGAGTTGATATTTAAAATAATAAAATTTAATCTTTGTTCTTTCATTACTTTAAATTTGAGCTAAAGAAATAAACAATGGAGAGAACAAATATCTGAAGCAACAGGTTATACGAGTTATAGACTGTCTTCAGCCCTTAGATAGATCTTTTTCATCCAAATGGGACAATAATATAGTTAGTATGACTAAGTCGTGTACTGAGGCACTGCGCGCCTCCGTACACCACTTAGCGGTTTTGACACTTTACAAAGCCGTTAACGTATATTTTACAACACAAACGACAACACTAACTTAACCTTAAATATTTACAAAGCCGCCAACCACTTCACCTCACTACTGTAAAAAAATAAACGTTCTCACTTACAAAAGTATTGCAACTCCTCCCATTGCTGTGCTTCACATAACAGTTCATATTCTTCTGACTCACTTTCTTCTTCATATAGGTCAAAATCACTGTCAAAATGAATGTTAGTAAGTTTTGACAAAGCTAATGAAACACGTTTACGTTTGTATCGTATGCTTGTATAAACTTTCCATTCTTCATTCCTTCATAAACGCTCAAACTAACTTTACCCTTTCTCCCTCGTATCTGATAGAATGTATTTTCACGAGGAACGAAGAACAAATTCTTGAACTCATGACCGTTGTAGTTTGTTATCTCAATAGTTTTCGTCATTTATATAAAAATAAAATAAAAATAAATAAAAATAATTAAAATAAATGATATCACCACCCTCACACGTATGAAAACATAAGCACAAAAATAAATTTAGGTGAAGTGGTGAGATCTCACCTTTTTTTTCACTCTTTTTTTCACCCTGTTGAATTCATTGCTTTATAACTCTCTTCCTTTCTCCAACTCTTCTAACTTCTTCTTAAGTTCAGCAATGTTGTCCTCATGAAGTTTAATCTTTCTCAAATTCCTTCTTTATCTAATGGTTGCTTTATCTTTCTAAACTGAACTCTACCATCCTTCATAGTATGAATGTAAAAACCTTCTGGAATAGTTCCTGATTTAATGTATTCTACCAAAAACTTTTGTTTCATTGCTTCAGTGACTTTATTTGTCATTTCAATCAAATAAAAATTTTAATATTAAATAAAAATAACGTTATTTTTCAGTAAGGAAACGCAGGAGTTTTACGATTTATTTGAGGAGTAGGTTCTGGTTTAAATGTTGGAGTCGGTTTAGGAGTTGACTTTTGAACAGGAGTTTGTACTTCCATAGGTTCAGGAGTCATTGAAGCGTTGGTTTGCTTGTGAAGGTGTTGGAGTTTGTTTAACTTCAGCTACTTCAGTATTATTTACAACATTTGCTTTATTTCTTTTCAACATCATAACTGCTCCTGCTGTAGCTAGCAAACCTAGTGGGAGACCATATCTTATATAAGGACTTGACCAAATGCTATTTTTGACAGGAGCTGGTGGAACACCTAACCTTGGTGAGACTGCTCTTTGCCATTGTGCAGCTCGTAAGAAATATTCAATAGGTGCTCCATAATCGTTTGGTAAAGTTTGTTTCATAGATGGTGAAGGTTCACGAGAGCTTGATGAAGAACTCATTTATAAGCTTTAAAAATAAACGTTCATCCTTTATTCCTCACTGTCGTCCGTAGCTAAGTTATAGTCATCTAATCTTATTATGGGGATTCCATTAGCACGCACCTGAATGGCAAAAGCAACAATCCCTCATAAATCCAATAAGTGGCTTTGGTACATTTTCAGTTGCTAGTTCAATAGGTCCTTTAACAGACAATTTGTATGTTATTGGAGCAGTAGATGTTTGACCTTGCTGGAAGCAAAAGTCCACTTCTGTTGGAAAACCACATAAGAAATGTGTGTTGTCATAGCTATCCCATTTATGTTCCACACTACCATCATCCACCAATGACCTCATAACATCTTCATTAAATCCTATCATATCATTGTTTGTATTGCAGGCGTTCGCAACCATTTCATAAAATACAGGTCCATATGATTTTTCAGGTTCTGCAGGCATATTTCCATAAGCTCCCATGGAAAGCTGAAGATATTTAAACTTAGGGTTCTCAAAATTAACATAATAGTTGTCTTTCTTTCTAAATAGTGCCCAAATACTTTTAACATTAATAGGCGTATAAGCTGCTGTAAATGTTGCACTTGAACTATCTGTATTCTTTGAGAATGAACCGTCCATAGGAATCCAATCCATAACTTTAACAGGAAAACATAAAGCCTCGTTTGTATAATGTTCTACAAGTTCTGTATAAATGTTAGGGTCTAAAGAGAATGACTTTGGATGAATGAAACATTCATTAAAATCCATCTTTGTTCGAAATAGTTGCTGGGTTACAGTTGTAATAGTAACTGTTCCACTAGCTTCTACTGCCTTCGTTATCATAGTGAATGGTTCATTCCATGGAACAAATTTATTTGTCGGTGGATTTGAATCTGAAGCAAATGCAACTTTAAGAGTTGGATTGAAAGCAATGATATCATTTACAGATATAGATGTGCATTGTAAGGCGTCGCTACTGAACTTTACTTTAAGCTGAATGTTTCCTGCAAAAGCTGGAATAAATCGAATAGCTTCTAATGGAAGGAATCTTCTAACAGGAATTCTTAAACGAAGCTTAAAATCAAATGATTTTCCTGCTGTAATTGGACCACTAACAATTTGTCCTGTTCTGCATGTTCCCGAATGACTCCATACATCTTCATGTCGAGTCTTTGAGAAAACATCTACTTTCTTTATTTGTTCGGTAGTTTGTGAGTTTGAAGTTATATATGCTTCTTCTCTTGCGTTGTCTTGAGAATATACGATACGACCATTTGCAAGGATTTGATATCCAGCAACTGCATAGAAAGCGTCATCGAAACCAATCCAAAATCCTGGTGGGTTTGTTTTATTGGAACCTGAACCAATTTCTTTATCTACAATAAATTGACCTTCCATTTTATACGTAATGAATGTATTGTAAAGGTCCAACATATTTTCACCAGGAGGTGAGAGATTGAATGTTACCCATGTGTTATCTTTAGCAGTTCCAGGTTGTGATGGAATCTTTGCGTCAGAATATTTTCTATTAGTGTCACCAATTTGAACTGCATTGTCTATGATATCGAAATATGAGCGAATCTGATGAATATGCTCTGCTGGAGTAAATTCGTTTAGCTGTTCGTTCTGCATGTATTTACTTCAGATAAAAATATCTATTTACTTCATTATTCTCACTCTTCTTCTTGGCATTCGTGGTGGAAGTTGTTTCTTGACATTTTCAATGAACTGTACATTCTCTTTGTCTCAACTTCTTTCACTGGTGGGTCAGGGTTCTTTGACTCGGTTTGTTTTTCAATGAAATTCACGAACTTTGCAATAAGCTCTTGGTTCGTTATTGAAAGAACATCTGGCTTTTTTTCTTCTGGTTCTATTGACTTTTCAGTTTGAATAGAAGGCTTAACATGGGCTTCGTGGGCTTCGCCCTCGGTGCCATGCACCTTAATGTTGTCGCTTTCTGCATTCGCTAATGGAACCTTTCTTTTTCTTACGTATATTTTACCATCTTTACTCTGACTTACGTAATAGAAAGGATGTTGTATTCCTCTTGCGTCATTTAATATAATAGACTCTCGCTCTGATTTTGACAAGCTCATTTTACATCGGTTAAAGTTTTAATTTTGTTTTTTATCTGCAGTCAAATGACTCAGACAAGCCCTACGAACAAGACCCAAGGGGTCATAGATGTTGAAGCATTGAAGAAAGAAATTCGCGAGCAAATTTTATCCGAACTAAAGGAACAAAAACAAGAACAAAAGCCAGAGAGACCAAAGAGAAAACTTAGTGAAAAACAACTTGCTGCATTAGCTGCTGGAAGACAAAAGAACCCAAGACTACTGGCGAAAAAAGCTAGAGAAGAAGCTGAAGCAAAAGCTAAAGAAGCTGAAGCAAAGAAAGAGTAAATGGCTTATTTTTATCCGAATTAAATGTATAGACAAATACCTTTATCTGTTGCGTTCAGTAGTGAAAACCCTGACGTCAAAATAAAGGGGAACAGAGTAACGTTTAAGTTTCCAACAGACTGGATTGTGAACATAAATGAAGAGAAGTACATTGGCATAACAAATATGTATATAACACGTGCTTTCAGAAAGGTTGACTTTATACTTCAAGTCGAGATAGAAAATGACGAACAGTCTTTAAGCGCCCAAAACATTCACATATACAAATACTTTGAAGACGATACAACATTGCTACAATGTATGATTTCATTTAATGAGATGTTCGAGAAAAAGTTTAACATTGAAGTACAAACTTTACAGCCTTTACGTGAGTTTCTTGCACAACTGAAAGAAGAAGGTAGTCAGCCACAACTTATAGACTTTCATTATGAATTTAATGAAAGTGAAGATGGAACTCATGACTGTCAGTTTGTTATATATTCACCATTCAATGAAGTCGCTAAAGAGAAAGAAACTCCATTACGTATAAGATTTCAAATCTCTGAACCAAGTGATGATTTCAAAAATGTTTTCAATTATGATGCAATGCTTCCGAGGAAAAATGAATTTTCAAAGATTGTAACACCTGGCATTTGGGATAGAAAGCAAGCTATATTATATTCAAACTTAAGTAAGGGAGTTGAAAATGAGTTCATTGGTCATACAAGAACTACACCACTTCCTAACCCTAAATACTATAAATTAACTGGCTTCAATCGTGAGTTTTGGATAGACATGTTCTCCACTCATGACCATAACTGCCCAGTGTTCTTACCTCCAGACCATAAGGACTGTCTCTACATTGAAGCACAACTCTTAAACTCTACCATCGCAGTATTGTAAATGACCACATGGGCTTCGCCCTTGCCGCTAGCGGCTTATTTTTATCACGAATGACCTCATTGCTGACAAAAATAAATGACCTCATTATTTTTCTCATTCATGACCTAGAATAAGCTTTCTTATGAGAAGTTATTGATAGAAAAGTTAAACTTCTCTTCAAATGCAGGTGTAGCAGACTTACATAAGTCGAATGCAATCTCTTGACCGTCATAAAGTGCTTTATATAACTTCATAACACTGAACTCAGAGTCTTTGTCAAATTTTCCTTGCGGAACCATTAAACCTTTATCTTCATCATAGAAACACTGAACAGAGTCAGGAAACATTTCATTAGCGGTTAAAGCAATAACATCTTGCTTCACGCCTTTCATTCTGCAGTGAAATGCAACTTCATTTAAATCATTCGTGAGTAAGTCTATGTAAGTCTTCTTTCCACAAAATATTGACTTGTATGCTAAACTTTGTTTTCCAGGTGTGATTTCTGCAAAGTCGCTATGAAATTGACCAAGGTTTTTACCAATGAGAACTCTTCCATAACGTTTCTCAAACTCTTCAGCTAAACGAGGGATATCTTCATTGTAGAGATGCATACTGTCCGTATCGCTATAAAAGATGTCCATTCCTAAGTCCTCAGCAGTACAGAATACTTCACACATTATTCTCTTCGACATAGACAGAATGTTAACACCAAGTGGACAGAAGTTAAAGTGTCTGCAAATGCTTTTCGTTAGCTTGAAAAATAGTTTTATCTGAACCATCCAAACCTTCGAACTTCACTATATGGTTGTAGTTTCTGATGGCATATCTTATAGCATCTTTGTCATTTACTATGGTTATTTTTGACTCAATAGGAGATAGAATAGTTTTGCCATAAATACTGTTCAGAATGAGCTTTATATTTTCTTGCAAAGGATTTCCTTCTTTCTTATACTTTAACCTTAACTCAAACAACTTCTTTACTTCATCTCTTATTCTAATATCTCTGTTTCCATCGTAATAGTATCCTTGCAACACTTCACATTTGACACCTTGATATTTTATGAGGTCTTGTAATGTTATATGGTCAACAAACATTAAACAGCAAGTGTTTGAACTTCTGGGAACGTTAAGTTCTGGATTTAGTTCAGGGTCACAAACTATTAAAGGAAAGTGTCTATGTATTCCAATCTCTGTTATCTTAATGAGAACAAAGAAGCCAGACATAAACTTTTCACCAATGGGTTCCTTTTGGTCGTCATCGAATAAATGTCTCATGAGATACTCTGTGCTTAACATTTCTTTCTTCAATACTTTCGGTATACCTTCTAAAGTATAAAGTCTTGCTATAGCTGATGGATATAATGAAACAGCGTCGAAATCAGCAATGAGTTTCTTTTCGCTCTTTTGTTTAATGTTATCTGACAGCATACATCTTCCACCTTGAATACAGCGTGAAATAAATTCTCTTGGTTTATTTGAGAGGTCATATAAATTTCCATTCGGGAAGTACACTCTGTTCTCAAATAATTTGTTAGCAATTGAACAAATACTAACGTAGTCATAAACGTTTAAATCAAATTCCTTCAATATGTCATTGCGGAACTTAACAAAACCTTCTCTTAAAATTCTTACATCTTGTTTGCAATAAAATGTGCTATACTTTTCTAAGTCGAAGTGGTTTTCATCTATTCTGCAACCTTTGATGGAATCTATGTTTTTCATGAATGTATCTGCATCCCGGATAAACTTACATGCTTCAGAAATGACACCAGTTCTGTTGTCATTTGCTAACAAAACACTGCTGTAGTAGTTATATGGAAATACTTCTTTCGGTCCTGTTTGTAATTTAAACATAGCAGGAAATAGTTTAAGCTTCTTATTTATAACACTGTAAGAGTCTTTTATAATAATAGCCCTTCCTTTATATAAACCAGTTATTTGCATTGTTCGTGAACCTTTAATGATGGGAGTTCCTTTCACTTCTGTCATGTGTCTTAAGATGAAGTTTATGTCATAACTGAGGTTATGGAAATATATTAAACTCTTGTCAGGAAGTCGTTCCAAAAATTCTGTTGCACAGTTCTGACCCCAAATGCTTTCACTCACTGAACCATCTTCACTGTCGTAACATATGTTAAAAGCTTTATGAAAGCCATCGGTACTGCACTCAAAGTCAGCAAAGAAAACGTGCTCAGGAATGAACTTGCACTTATTTTTATTTACTTCTTTTGACTCGGCTTTCTTCTTCAGTTGTACACAATACTTTGGAGCATATGACAAGTCTTTAAATGGTGCAAGGTTCTGTTTATATAAGTCAGTAGTATATGTGAAAAGTTCTCCATAAGAAATAGGTTCGAAATATTTGCACTCCCACAATGTTTTCATAACATCCCATAACGGTGTTGTTCTATCATAACGAACTACATATTTATCTTCTCTCTTTGTATAAATCTTCATTTGTTTCTCAATGTTCATTCCACCACAAGCTTTGAGAATTTCTTTGTAATTTCTGACGAAATATGTTGTCATTGGTAATCTTTCATTTAGCATGTAGTGGTCTTCAACAAGAAGTAAGTCAATAGTTCTAACAGTTTCACATTCTTTTGGTATGTATCTCTTTATTTCATTATGTCTTGAGTCATTGAAATAACCAATGGTAACATTAAATGCTATACCTGTTGCGTCAGAAATTTCTTGTACTTTACTTTGAGGAAAGTCTCTAACACGAATGACTTCTCTCATGTGGTCAATAGTCTCTCCATCTACTCCAGCCTGAATGCAAGCATAAACGAAACAATTGTCTTCTGTCATAAGTGCTGCAGTTCTTTTGTTCAATTCATTGAAGATTTGGTAGCGTTCAAGATTTATAGGTAATGTGCAAAGATACTTCCAGAACTGACCGCTTCTCTTCTTATAAAACTTCTTTTCACCATTATCTTTCCAAAAGCTTTCTATAAGTGCTGGGTTTCCTGTTTGCTTAAGAGCTTCCAAAATGGCTTTCTGGTCATTTGTCAGTGTGCTTTCATCTCTATATGGTCTCTTTTTTGGTTTGCCTTTCTTTACATCTGACATCGTTAAGCCTTCATATTCTGTTAAATCATACATCTTTATTTCAGTAAGATTCTTTATGTTTGTCAAGAAGAAGTCATAGTGCATTTCAACAATACCTGCAGCATTTGCTTCTATCTCTGATATAAAGTTCTCCTTCAAGAGCTGATGTAGTAATGTTCCAATATTATTGAGGTTTAACGTAGAACATTCATACTTTCCACCAAGTTTATAACATACCATCCATCTCTGTTGTGAGTTTATTTTAATTTTCTCTAAGAGTCTCATGAAAACCTTACCGAAATGTTTGTGTAAGTAGTCTCTGTTTGGTTCATCTAAAGCTTCAATGTTAAAGTCAATGAGTCTATTGCCTGACTTCACATTTCTCTTCCTATTCTCTTCATCTTTCTTTAACCATCTCTCACCTTCTTTTGGTTTGTCGTCAATGGAACGAATGACATCGTTAGCTTTGCGAACTTGTTCTATAGCGCTCTTAAACATCTCTCTTCTCTGTTGTTTCAGTGTGTCGTCTCTTCTTCTTGTTTCACCAACGTTTGCATTTGTTATGTCAAACATTTCTCTTCTTACTTCATGAGGTACTGAACGTCTATGATATAAGTCAATAGCAACGTCATTTAAAGGAAATGCTCTTGCATGGACTTCGTCCTCGCCGCGTTGCGCTTTATGAACTCATGAATTCTATCATAACTTATTGCACCATTATAGTCTTTAATGAAGTCAGCGAGTGCTTTTTTGTTTGTTGCGTAATGTTTTGCTACTTCTATGTTAGCTTCTGTAAGAAGTTGTTTTATTTCCGAGTGTTCTAACTTAGACAACTTCCGATACATCTTAGTAGGAAATAAAAAAATATTTTTTGAAAAAATTAGATTAGATTTTTTAAAGTTATTTTTCAAAATAATTTAATATTTTTATTTTAATGAAACACATGCAAGATTGCAAGTTCTTTTCATACAATGCTCTCGCTACTGCCATCAAGAATGAGTTCAATAATGCTTCAAATGTTAATGTTATCTTTAACAAGAAGTTTGTGAAAGAATCTAAGTTTGGTCAGTATGTCAGACCATTAGCTATCGTCATTGACCGCAAACGTTATACTTCACAAGAGTTAGCAGTAGTTTTTGAAACAAAAGAGTTTCTTCGTGAATGTCAAAGATACTCATTATACTGTCATAAAGAACTCTAACGTTGACTTCTTCAGTATTGCTTTAAATCTTTCCGAACAGAAAGAATATAAGAAGGGTGAAACATCTGTGAAATATTATCCTTCATCTCTGAAGACAATAACGAACAAAGATGTTATACAAAAATTCTTACCAAAGGTTGAAGAAGCTTCTATTGACATTGACGAAGGAAGTGAAATGGTTGAAGAAATAGACCCTGAAGCTATTTAAGCAAAAATATATTTTTGAAGAACTGAAGGTGTCACTACGTCACCATGTCACCAGGTTAATTAACTTCTTTTAAAAAGTGTGACAACATGACATTTTGACAACAGGTACGAAAGAGCGAACAGCATGATGCTTCGTTAATGTTATTGTTAATGCTTACAGTGTCGAACATAATTGACGTAGGATTCATGACTTCTTCGTAAATGGGTGTAAATATAGCACAAAAATATATTTTAGGTGAAGAGGTGAGATCTCACCCGTTTTTTCACCTCTTTTTCACCTCATTCTCTCTTCATTAATGTTGTCGTGACTTCATCGTTAATGTTGTCGTGACTTCATTCTTCCTCTTTGAAGTTGTCGAAATATTCTGTTATTTTTTCCTTTAGTAATGGTAAGTTAGGGTTGTTAGATTCCCGACGATAGGTGTCTTGGAAGATTTGCCTGGTGTCATCATAGTGTCTTTAAATCAAAAATTTTATTTTGGAGTTAGTTTTATTGATTTTTCAATAAAAAACATTTCTAAAACAAGAAAATAAAACGATAAAATATTTATATTTTATATAAGGATCTTATATATTTAAAATAAATATCATTTTATTTTTTTCATTGGTGTCTGTCAAACCATAATACACTATTCAAAAATTCAATGTGTCTTGCGGTTTCAAAAGACACCTTCAAATTGAACGATAGCACAGACACTATTGAATTTTACCCATTGTATTTAGTTTTTACCCTTTTTATTTTTAAGAATTAATGACTGAAACAGCCGTTTTGCTATGACCTCAATCACTTTTATTTATTATTTTAAATATTATTTAATTTTATTATTTGAATAGGCCAACTTATATTTGAGAAGCTCAATTTGAGACCACTTAATACATTGAAATATCATAAATATTGAAATATTAAAAAGTGTATTTCAAAATATTGAAATTATAAAAATTTATAATACTGAAATTGAGACAAATTAATAAATTCAATGTGTTTTTTTTGAAATAACTCTCAAATATTATTTTTTTGTTTATTTAATGATGAATAAATATGATTGCTTTAGTCAATCTTAAAAACTAATTTAAGTTTAAAATAATGAAAGGATAATTTGATCGTTTTTTAAAATACAATTATTTTTGATGATTTGCAAGAATCTTTGAAAAGAATATAATATAGGTTCTATTTTTGTAAAATTTATCCAAATCATGTATTACATAAATTACGATTAAAACGATGAAAGAACCAAAAAGTGTGTTTTGTGTTTTGTTGTTGCGTGTTGGATGCGGGATCCTGTTATTTCCGAAATCGACAAAAAATTTGGAAATTTAATTTCCGAAATCGAAATTATATTAATGTTTTTAATATTCTTATATCAAAAGGATTAAAGTTCATTAAGAGAAAAACAATTCTTCTTCTTCAATCTATTGGCGCATTTATTTATACACGCCAATAAGGAAGGGAAAATTATAAGACACCATGGTGTCTTCAAAACGCTAATTTTTGATATTTTTGACAACCCTATGGTAAGTCTTCTTTGAATGTAAGTATTGTGCAACCTTTGATGTCATAGTGTGTTTGAGGAAGAGTATTTTTGACAATTTCCTTTATTTGTTCATTCGGAGTCATTGAAATCGGTAAGTTTTCACAATAGAACCAGTTTCTGTCAGATTTATATATTTTAGCGAGGTCATAAAAGCTCTTGTTGTTTCTTCTGACTAAATGTAACATAACCATATCTCTATCTTCTTCTTTCTCCATCTCTTCAGTGTAAATCATATACTTATAGCTCTTCTCCTTTCCTATTGGTACTGAACGTGGTATTCTTTTCTGTATGCTTTTGGCTTTGGATTCAATGACTTCATCTTTTGCTTGAAGTTTCTTTTCCATCTCTCCACGTTCTGCTTTATATAGTTCATCTAACATCATGAAAATATAACAAGCATAACGAGGTGAAGCCCACATTGCTACAGCGTTTACTAAAAGTCTATGAACATAATAACCTTTCAAACCAGGAGCCAAATTCTTGCGATTTTCGTACGGAATCTCTTCTCTCGGTTTTCCGAGTGAAGCAATCATATGAGGAAATTCTTCTAAAAGTTCTTTTGTCTGTTGGTTTTCAAACCAATGATATGCTTGCTTTGTAGAACGAAGAGCGTTCATTATACTTTGCATTTGGTACATGTCATCTTTGACCGAACGAATGAGTCTCAATTGTTTGTTATACTGTATGTACTCGTATTCTTCATTTATGGCTTCATGAACGATAGCAGTTGTTGTGTTCTCTGATGTTGACATTACTGTCTTTACATACAAGATAAAAATTTTTGTTAGAAAAAAATTAGCGTTATTTTCTGACTTTCACAAAAGACCAAAAATAAACGCTTTACATGTATTTTTCAGCAACTTCGTCAAATAATTTTATAGCTTTATCTATCTCATCTACTTCAAACGTTTCTTTACCTTTCGTGGGAGCACCATACATTTTCTCAAAAACTTCAAGCAGTTCTGTTTCAGCAGCTCTCATATCATTAGCAAACACAACCTTGACTCTATTGACTGTACTGTCATATCTTTGAGTTATATTATATGTCCTTCCTATCTTATATCTTTTTGTGTTGAAGTCCTTCGGTTTCTGAACGATATAAAGTAAGCCTTCACTGCAACGTTCTGAGTCGAATGAACCATATGTTATGAAGTTATATCCAACAACTGGGTCTAACCATAACAAAACTATTGGTATAAGACTTTTGTCTATAAGATATGCTCTTGTTCCATGAAATGCTACTGATATCATAAGCTCAGGATTTCTTGTCAAAATTTTCTGAGTTGAAGCATTTCTAACCCAGTCGTTTGTTTTCTTTCCAGATGGAGATATAATGTCTGACAAAGAATATTTGTTGTATTTCTTTGAGTATCTTACGTTTAAATCACCAATTCTAACCACTTTGGTGTCATTGTCTATCTTTCTAACTGTTTCAAACTCAAAGTTTGACATTACTGTCTTTACATACAAAATAAAAATTTTTCTTAGAAAAAATTAGCGTTATTTTTCTAACTAATGAAATTCATGAAATTTGGTCATTTTTCAGCAAAAATAATGTTTAGGTGAAGAGGTGAGATCTCACCTGTTTTTTCACCTGTTTTTTCACCTCTTTTTTCACAAGCGTTTTACATGAATTGTACGATGTATATTTGAAATCCTAAACAATTTCGTAGCTTCAATTTCTTCTTTTAGTATATCGAATGTTTTAATTGTGCCGAAAGTCTCTTTATATTTCTTCTTGACGTCAGACAGAAGGAAATCTTCTGCTGTTGGATAGTTTTTATTAAGAAATGTCAACATATCCATTTTATCTTCTGCTGGCTTTTCTGCTTCTTTCTTTAAGTCTGCATAGTCGTTTCGCATTCTTTCTATCTCTTTGACTGAGTAGTTATATTTTCTTATTGCTGCTTTACATTTTGAACATTGCGGCATCGTTTTTGCGTTATACATTGAAACATTACCAGCTAAAACAACTAAAGCGTCAATTGCTCTCTTCATCTCAAACATAGCGGGTCTTATTTGTTCGTTCCATACTTTGTCTCTTCTATCTTTATCTCTTATTTCCCAAACACATTCAGCAACTAACGAAACAAAGTTATCGTATGTCTTAAACTCCACCGATTTATATATGTCAGAAATATTTTTATAAACCATGTCGCAATCTTTGTCCATAACTTTATGGTTGCAATGAAAACCAAGGAATTCATAATTTACTTTACGTATGAATTTCTTTATTTCTACTGAGTCAGTTGCTTTGACTTCAATTTCGTCGAATTCAGGAATAGTTAGTTTTTGCTGCTGAACTTCAGGTAGTTTAGGCAAATGGTCAATAATATCCTGCATGTCATAAAGATACTGTTCATTTGTTTCATCTTTCGCACTACAGTCTAAATTACTTGTTAAAAGTTCTTGCTTTATCTTCTGGATTTCTGTTTCAAAAGTATATGAAGAAGGAATAAAGTTTTTCATCTCTATCAACATTGACGTAGGATTCATGACTAACGAGTTTGGTGCTGTAGTTTGAATTGTTGTTGTACCGATTGTTGAAATCATATCTTTTATACAAAATAAAAAAATAAATAAAAATAAAACTAACTTTATTTTTTCTATCTTAAGGAAATTCATGAAAATTCGTGAGGGTGAAAAAACAGGTGAGATCTCACCTCTTCACCTAAACATTATTTTTGTCTGATTTACATCTAATGAAAAAGTTTAGAAGAATAAGAAAATTCTTTCTGGCATATTTTTGTCTTTCCAGTACTCCCGCTCTAATGGTCCCAGATGTGTTGACTTTGACTCTCTCAAGTTCTTAGATGGTATAACATCTTCAACGCCTCCTTCATATCTTACTTTATAAGTGTCATCGTTTATGTTGTAGCCAAGTATTTCAATAACCACTCCTCGCTTTGCTTCGTCAATGGTTTCAGCAAGTTTGCCATTACTACTTTCGACTAATTTATGTCGAGGGTAAAACGCAATAGAGTCGTCAGCAGCTTTTATAAGATATCCATTACCTTGCGTAGAGTCTACGATATAATAGTTTCTACTTAACCTTAAACGTTTCTTTGTCAACGGTTTGTCGTCAAGAACTACACGAACTTTTGTACCAGGAATGAGGGTAAATTGTGTTGAATTTCTGATATTTTGTGTTTGGCTTCGTTTCTTTTGTATATACTTTTCTTCTTGTTGTTGTGTCATTGAATTTGGTGTATGTCCTGTTGTAGAATGTGTTGAGGAATTATATACTTCGAGAAAATGTTTCATTGTTTCTTCGGTAAAGTCTCGCTCTGGTTTAAATCTCTGAGCGTTCTTATGAAGCGGTTTATGATGCCGAGTATGTTATGGTTATGGTCTTCAGTAGTGTAGTGAGTTATGTTATGCTTAATGAGAAAATCTGTGATTTCATTGCTGAGGTATGCACTGTCTTGGTCTGATGTTAAAGTACTTGGGCTATGTTCTGCTACAAACTTTTGTAAAACTCTTAACACTTCACGAGTTCCTTTATTTTTCATTGGATATGCATATGCTTTGCGAGTGTTAACATTAATGAAGATGAGGAATGGGTTATGTCCTCCTTTTCTGCTTTGAATGAGAGTGTCAAATTGGTATGCGTCAGGAGTGTTGGAGTAAATTGGTAAAAAGTAGTCGTAAGGGTTTATTTTTGTTTGATGTACAACATTTTTGTCAAAGAACCTTTTCACTTCAGCTCTGTTAGTAAATCCCCAACTCTTTGCAGCTTCATTGAACTTCTTAAATGACCTCCATGGATGTTGTTCGAATACTTCTTTCAAGCTCATTTATGTAAAGTTAAAGATTTTATTCAAGGCTCAAGCGCGTTCATTGAACGCGGTACCATGCGAATATAGTCACAAATGGTGGCATATAATCTGCACCCGAGCCTGTTGGATTTGTTGTGAAAGTGTGTGAATGATTTCCTGTGGTTTCACAGAAAATACCTGCGCTTGAATCTACTGGGTCACTTGAAATATCATATCTATTCATTCCCTGTCTATCCGAACCTGCTGCAAGATTTGTATAACCTCTTTTTGTTATTGAATGTGAATGATTACCTGTTGTGTTTGTAGTTCCGGTATGAGTGTGCGGTGGAAGGTTTGCTTCTTTAATTTTCTTTGAACCTCCTGTTTGCTTTGAATATCTAGCACAGTATAAGAATTTATCTACAATCTGCTTCCATGTACCAAAACCTAAAACATTTGCTGGATTTGTTGAGTTCATTGATGTATAAATAGAACCAACGGGATATAATGTTTGAAGTATTTCAGTCTTTAATGTTTGAAGCTCTGTTTTGTCTGCTTTCTTATCTAACATTGCTGGTAGTTCATATGCTTCAAAGTTTCTGACATGACCTTCGATATTCATACATTTGTTATTTAAGGAGTTTAGTGTATCTTTTACGCTTGTACTCGGATTCTCTAAAGGTGCACTTGAACCAAGGGTATAGTTCAATATTATGTCGTCTGCTCTAACAGTAGTGAAGGATTTATGTGTATGGTTCTTGTCAGCTTTACTGTCTAATGTAGCTTGAAGTTCATTTATATCGGAGATATTGTGTTTATGAGATTTCAAAACTTTGTTCGTTGCGTCAAGTTCATCTTTGTCAGCTTTACTTTTAATATAGGGTGTCCAAAGGTGCGTTTAGCACAGCGCTCTATATGAGACTATTAAAGGAGATATATGCTGATTATAAATATATAATAAAAAATATGAATATATGTATATGATGAGTATGTTGTATTTTGGCGCCATGCCGGGATATAAAATGAATTTTGAGACAAGAGGCGGTTTCGCGGGAAATTTGGCGGGATTTTTTTCATTTTTTTAATGAATCATAAAGAAAACATCCTCGCTCTTGCAAAAAAATGCAAAGACTGTAAAAAAATCTACGAGACATTGGTAAAATGCTTCGGTATGGATCTCCTAGCTATTCCACTGTAACGTATCATGTTAGGATGTATCACTTCATGAACAAAAAGGCGCCATCATAAAAATTGACAAAAAATCGCCGGATCAAAGAAAAATCAAAGCAATTCTTCAAGCGCTAGATGAAGACCCAAGAGCATCACTCAGAAGGATAGAGGAGATGACAAAGATACCACGTACAACAGTCAGTTATTATCTGCACAATTATTTGAACTACAAACTAGCGTATACACGTTGGGTTCCGCACAACCTTAATTCAGTTCAAAAAAAATCTAGAGTCCAATCTTCGAAAGAGCTCCTCTCTATATTGGGTGCGTATCAATCCAAGAAGTTTCGCTTTTTAGTAACAGGGGACAAGTCTTGGTTTCAATATGCACAACGAAGCCAAAATCATGTGGATCCCGAAGGATGAAAATCCGCAAACATTCCGAAGAAAAAAATTGACACACCAATGATGATGTTGTCGGTTTTTTGGGGCGTGAATGGCATCATCGCAATTGATATTCTTCAAAAACCTAATACGATGAATGCTCAGTATCTAATTGACAATGTTCTTACTCAAATTATCAATTCTGATGAGTTTGAGAAATCCAAACAACAAAAACAAAAGTTTGCAATTCATTTTGATAATTCAAGAGTTCACAAAAGTCATAAGGTAATGAATTACTTGGTGGAAAACAATGTCAAAGTTGTTCCAAACCCAATTTATTCACCTGATATTGCACCCTCTGACTTTTATTTATTCGGCACGCTAAAAAAGAGAGCTGAAGGACGCGAATTCGCGAGTCCAGATGATCTTGAAAATTTTGTAAGAGAGCAATTTGAGCAATTTTCTCATGATGATTTAAAGCGTGTCTTTCAAGCCTGGATCGATCGCTGCGAACGCGTGATTGAATCCAATGGTGATTATATTTAAATAAACTTTATATATATGTAACTTGTTTATTTCTATTCGCAGTATTCAGGTTTGTGCTAAACACACCTTTGGACACCCTATAGCATCTTCAAAAGTTATTTTTGCCTTAACTCTCAAAGTAAATCTTGGTTCAACTAATACACCGTTAACAAAGAAGTATGAAGCATAAATTTCATCGTTATAACCAAATGCTTCTGGTGCTTTACCTGTGTCATACTGTACAGTACAGTGTATGTCATAACCTTTAGCACGAATGAATTTATATCTTCTTTCATTAACATCTTCCGTCTTCACTTCTTCTTCAGTTCGTGTTAAATATCCATGGTAGTCCGTTATAATCTGTTCGTCTGAAGTTATATAATGAACGTGGTTTTTATCTGCTTTTTCGGCTAATTTCTCTTCTATCTCATTTATTTCAAGTTCAACTCTTCCGCCAGAACTCTTATTATCATTAATCTTTTGCATTAATTCGGTAATTACGTCATAAAGACTATATTCTGTTTTCGGTTTTGTAAATAATGAGTCAAAATTTCTTTTCATCATTACATCGCTGACATTAATGATATCACCAATTCCTTTTTCATTTATTCTCTTCATTAGTTCTGCAATAATGACGAATATATAATCTGTTAATTTATTCTCTTCATCGAGGGTTATAGAATGTTTTGAAATTGAATCATTAACTCCTCTAAATAAATCAATAACTTCAGGATACACGTTTTTAATGTCTCGAATAACCCGACCAGTATCCTGTTGTTCATGTTCTTCGTTCCCGTCGTTACGTGGTTTTATATCTCTAACCATCATCAACGCAGCCATAACCGGAGGGTTTGTTGCTATCTGTTCGAAAATCCGTCCGTTATGTATGGTATATCTAAATAATTTCTTTGTGTTTGTTAAAACATTTGAAACAAGTCTTTTAAAACCATCTACAAAATTTCCTGTTTCACCTAATGTTCTTGCAGCATTTACAAGCTCACCCATGCCCGCTTTTGACCCCAAAAACGTCCATATTGCATTTATTTCACTCTGTATAGTTGTCCATTCAGCGAAACTAACACCCGCATTCGCTAAGCTGAAAATGAAATTCAGTGGATCGAACTTAATTCCACCTTCTTTTTCAATTTCAACGAACTCACTAACATGAGATTTTAAGTATTCTTTCGTTAAAATTGTTTTCCCCGATGTTATGTCATTAACGAAACTATCACCGTCAAAAGTTAACAAATTCAATTTCGTCGTTGATGCTTTTATTTCATACACCGCTTTATCGATAGTTTTTGGCTCACCTTCTTTAGAAGTGTATGAAACATTAATGAATGAATTATATGTATTCATGAATGAATTAAAATCAATGATTTTCATTAATGACGCCTTTAATGATTCATTTACTGTCGAATCCCTTAAAGTAATTAATGAACTGTTATTTATGAAAGGTACACTGCAAACCGTCGAGTTTGGATCAAATGCTGTAGTTGGTGCAGGAATATTAATGATATAAGTCATTAAATCATTAAGTGACGTAAATAATGTTGTCGTTTTTGATTTAATTTCTTTAGCATCTGTTATATACGATAATTTTATTTATGTAGTTTCTGAATTAAAGATATTCGCTAAAATGTTTTGTAAACTGTTTTGAACAGCTGTGTAAACCGTTGAATCCGGAACTCTTACGATTTCACCGTCCTTAATAAAAGGCATTGCACATGGTGTAGTGCTTGGGTCAAATCTTTTTGGGTTATGATTCAACATATATTCTAATGCTTCATAAACAGACCTATATACGGTTGTATTATCTTTTTCAATAATTTCACCGTCCTTTATAAACGGCATAGTACATGGAGTTAAAATAGGGTCAAACTTTTCATAATCCTTCCATGTTATGTATTTCTCAGTATTTCCATCAGTGATAACAATATATTTGTCAGTAAGTGTGAGAGAGTATTGACCAAAATATAAACGTTTAGCTCTGTCAGCTTCATACGCATATGCAGCTATACTCATATTTTAATGAGAATAAAATGTTGTTCTATTTGCAAAGTACAGACCCAAACGAATACGGGACAGTAAAGCTACAAACAAACTTAGGTCTACAGAATGAGGTGCTTGCATTCAGAATGGTTGACTTCAATACTATCGCTTCATTCGTTATAACAGATGAAACAGATTTCATGGAGATTGAAATAGATGGAAAGAAGCACGAAATAAGATTTCACAATAATGTAGAATATAAGATGGAAACATTAGCTGGAGTGTTAAATGCTCTCATAAATACTACAATAAGGGAAGAAGCAGGAATATGAACAAAGGGTGGAAGCCTATAAAAATTTATGTCAATGATGGCTCAGGAGGTTCAAACATAAAGTATGCAGAAAGTTATAGAGTTTATGCTCTCAAAGCTGAAAAGCCTTCATTTAAGAACAGCTATTCTAACGCATATCCTCAAAAGCTAACGGATGGGGAAGTGGATGATATGAATGACAGCAAAAATATTAACAGAAATGGCGACAGAGATGCATGGAATTTGTTTACCATCAGTCAATTGAAGGTTAAACTTTAAAACAATGTTGGTCGTTCCCATGGAATATTTTTGACTTTAATGGTATTAGTCATGATATGAATCTCGAGGTATGAACGAGGAGAGATGAGAGACTTATATGCTTCCCAAATTTCTTCAAAAGGTAATGTTATACCTGACTGTTTCCAAATGAGTTCAATATCATAGCGTGAGAAACCTTGAAAGATAACGAAGTCAGTTATGAGACGTTTTATGTTTAAAGCTAAAAACCTCCATGTTTGCATAAGTATTGCTACAGTTAAATGGTAATGTCTGACTTTAGTTATGATGTTAGCTAATGGTGAGTCTGGTTTTGACACTAAACCTTTTCCAGCGAAATCATCACAAACTAATAAAGTGTTTGATGGATATTTTTTGAAGGGGTATTTTGAAAGTTTTGATAGAATGTAGTTTGTAAGTCGTTTCATATCGTAAACTCCTGAGTATTGACGTAAGTGGTGTTTGTCAATAATTCTTTCCATCTCCTCAGAAGTCTTTTGCATTCCTGACTGTATAAATTCAACGATGGCATAATATTTCCTCTTACGTCGAATGTAACGTTGAAGAAATTCAATGAGTTCACTGTCTGGAACTTTAACGACAGAGGCTTGAACTTTTGACATAAATGTTTTCGCTGTTGAGTCCATAGAGTCTGAAGTTGCTGATATAATGATTTGGTCATAGTAAGAGTCGTTTCCTAAACGCTCTGTTATGAGTATATGACGAATGAGGTTGAATGTCTTTCCTGACCCCATCTTTCCACAATAGAAATAAACACCATTTGAACAGAATTCATAGTCCTTGCTGAAAGGAAGAATAAGAGAAGAGTTAAGTTTGTCTGTAGTTTCATTCATGTCTTCATCTACGTCATGTATTAAATGCTTCATTTTATCTCCATTAAAAATGCAAGTCAGAAATATTCAGAACATAGCACCGAGTCTAACTGACAAGAGTATAAAGATATACTATGAACATGTTATGATGAAACCAACCAAAATTCAAGAAAGTCAGTATACATATGAATATCCAAGACACTGGGTAGAGTATGTAGGAGGTGAGAAAGCTATTGAAATCAGACAGGTTCGAAGTATTCCAGCAGGAAGAACAATATTATTGAAGAACTTTAATGTTTTGAGGTATAATGATGAAACAAAGAAGCAAGCTAGTTTCCCTGTTGCTGTGTATGTGAACTTAGATACAGGAGATGACATGAAAGTTTTTAATACAAAGCTTCAAACGGTAGTGAGAGAACAACTGACTGCGGAAGGACATCCATTACCTTCAGAAGTTACCATAGCATATAATTTTGAAACAAACTCAATAGATTTTAAAGTCATCTCTGCAAAGAAGTCAGGTTTTACATTTAATGAAGCAGATGTATATTCGAATGAAAACTTCAAAGCTATTGCATGGTTAGATAATGACGATTGCTTTAAGAAAATATTTAAATACAGTGACTCAACGATGTCAATAGATGACCTTCGTGGAATGTTACCATCGACGTTTACAGTAGAAGGTTCAGCAGGATTGCTTACAAGATTGTCAATTGGTGGTATTTGGTCTCGTGAAAACATTGTTATAAAATCCAGTATAAGTGAATTTGCTGAAGAATCTATATTATGTCTTTCAAACTACATGTATTCGCCGCCGAAGCATTATAGTATAACAAACTTTGTCAGTAAGTTTAACATAAGACTTGTCGAACCTTCTTCAATGAAAGATGTTGTGCTACCTAAAGATGGAAAGGATGGACTCATTATTGAAATGATTTTAATAGCATATTAAATGAGCTTGTTCTTGAAGGTCATTCATGATGAAATAACTGTTGTAGAAGATGTTAGCAATTGTTCAGACATTTTGAAGCGTATAGATGATATAAGAAAGAAGTTAGATAGACCGCAAAGCGGTGAGGGCGAAGCCCGTGAGAATGTTTATGTTTCATTGACTTTCTCCAGTAACGAGAACTTTTATGAGATAATATTGAAGAGAGATGATTTTAATATGGTGTAAATGGTAGCTTGGGCAGCTTTAGGCGCAATGGGAACAAAAGCATTAGCATTTGGAGCAAAAACACTTGGAGCTTATGACGCAGTAAATAAAATGAGTGGAGGAAGGGTTTCAAAGACATTAGATGCAAATAAAGGAAGGATTGGAGGCTGGGTTGCAAAGAAGTTAAGATTAAATAAAATAGGGCTCATAAATAAAGCATCCAATTTGGTTGCGACTGAGTCAGAAAATGCTTTAGGAAAGGACGATGAGTTTGCAAAACACGCAAAAGACTTTAATGACCAGATGAAAGGTGAAACAATGCATTTAAATAGAGTCGATGGAACTAAAGAAAATGTTTCTTCTCCACCAGCGGTTTATCCATACGGACCTTATGGAATGTATGGAAACCCTTATGAACGACCATTTGACCCATTGACTGGTGGAAGTAACTGGTATCATTATGGACGAAGAAGAAAGACAGTCAAGTTGGAGACGGACGTAAAGAAAGCAACTAAAAAGAAACCAAGGAAGAGAGTTATAAAGCAATGAATTCAACAGGGTGAAAAAACAGGTGAAAAAAGAGGTGAGATCTCACCACTTCACCTAAATTTATTTTTGTGCTATGTTTTCATACGTGTGAGGGTGGTGATGTCATTTATTTTTAAGTTTATTTTTTATTTTATTTTTATTTTATTTTTATATAAATGACGAAAACTATTGAGATAACAAACTACAACGGTCATGAGTTCAAGAATTTGTTCTTCGTTCCTCGTGAAAATACATTCTATCAGATACGAGGGAGAAAGGGTAAAGTTAGTTTGAGCGTTTATGAAGGAATGAAGAATGGAAAGTTTATACAAGCATACGATACAAACGGTAAACGTGTTTCATTAGCTTTGTCAAAACTTACTAACATTCATTTTGACAGTGATTTTGACCTATATGAAGAAGAAAGTGAGTCAGAAGAATATGAACTGTTATGTGAAGCACAGCAATGGGAGGAGTTGCAATACTTTTGTAAGTGAGAACGTTTATTTTTTTACAGTAGTGAGGTGAAGTGGTTGGCGGCTTTGTAAATATTTAAGGTTAAGTTAGTGTTGTCGTTTGTGTTGTAAAATATACGTTAACGGCTTTGTAAAGTGTCAAAACCGCTAAGTGGTGTACGGAGGCGCGCAGTGCCTCAGTACACGACTTAGTCATACTAACTAATATATATTGCCTGATGAATAGACAATATCTGTCGATTAAAAATTATCAAATTCTATATAAAATATCTTATTTTTACACAAAAATTAATTTATTTTAAAAATAATATATATTAATCACATAACCGACACATTGACCTTTTTGGACTCTACACTATCCTCCCTATGACGACAAGCATACTTTTTGGCATCATTTTTACATTTTTCATACAATTTCTATATCAAAATGGATCAAGTTGATTTAAAAGCAATTGTAAATTGCTCAAACCCTGATCTCTATACTAATCATTCAGTTAACATCACAAATTCAATTAATTATGAAAAAAAATTGGATGCACGTAATTGTTTCGGAATTGAATCTCTTCACACTTTTGTATCTATCATTCTCTCTTGTAAAAAAAAGAAAAATTGGATTTGACTGTGTCAAATCCTCTCTCTAACAAAGTGGACTTTACATGGCAAATTTTAAATGTGTGTAAAGTCCACTTTGATGAGTTTCAGGTACTGACAATTCATTAATATCAATTACCATAATATCAATAATTTATCTTCACAATTAATGAAGTTACTAAAGTCTTAATGGTATAAGTCGTACAACTTAGTCTTACTGTCACGCTTGTAGTACTTTGCTTCAGCCTCAGCCCTACGATCAATCTTTTTTACATAAATGGGTAGAAATTCATAGAATCTACTTCATCTGGTGTAAAATCGCACATTTGCCAAGATTTTTGCCATAAACCCGATCGTTGGGGTCAACTTTAGTGTCCTCAGGATATTCTTCTGGTAAATCAGGTTCATCTTCTTCAGTGTCAGAATATTCACCGTAAACAGACTTATCCTCCTTAATTGTTACAGCCAACAGTTCCATGCGATGATCCTTCTCACTTCGTGTCACCATTGGCAACGCACCACTGGTAGTTTTGACAGCTTCAAGCTCCAATGGTTGGGGGTTATAATCGGTGACTTGAAGCTGTTCCCAATGGTGTTAATCCGTTGGAAAACATCAATGAGATATTTCTTCAGGGATTTCGCAATTTGTAGGCTAGAATGCCGGATTGAAGGTTCTGCGATGATTTCATCAAGTTCTTGAATGGCTTCCTTATATAATGGCCAAACATATCTCCTTCAATGGACGGATAGTACGCTCAAAATATTGAAGAGTTAATGGAATTCCATTTCGTAAATTCAATATCTTATTATATTATTAATCAGATGTGCCGAGCATCTGATGCAAACTGTCTTGAGTCCTGGTACAATGCACCACAACGACGCCAATGATAGATGTCCTTCACCTGTGTGGATGTTCTATCTCTCACACTGCTTCAATTCTTTCCTTCAATAAGTGTTCTTTAAGATCATGACAAGTGCCTTGCATGTGTTTACCATGAGCAGTGCTAGATTGATTAAGTGAGCCACGCACCGTATGTAAACGGTTTGTATGCTGGGATATAGCGCTCCACATCTCTTCCAATGGCAGAGGCCTTTCACTTGAGCAGGATCTCCATCTCCGATGATAGCTCCAACGAGATCACGAGGTTTTTTCCATGTGTCCCACTGATTTTTATAATCCCGGAAGTTACTGCCGTCGCACACCCAAGTTTCAACGTAGTAATGGTTCGCCTCTTTGGTAGGATTTGATACCATCGCAAAAAACATTTTCTGCTTCCATGCGAGGCACCATCAACCGTGATGGTATGATATTGCATTCTGGTGATTATCAAAGCAACATTTGGAAATATCAATTTTTCAAAGCAGATGATGGCGTCGCGAATTGTCTCATGTGAATAATTATATATATTTTTCTTCGCCCCAGCAATATGGTATAAAGAATTAAGTAAATAAATAAAAAATGATCAGATACTCTGTTAATAGACAAATCTGTTTGGACTAAAATGGCGACTAAGCATTGTAAAATTTGATCTGTCCTGACTCTTTGTTTCAGTTTATATGGATTCGTGTCCATTTCAAGTCTATCTAAATGAGTATGATGATGGTTGAATTCACTAGATTTGGGAAAATTCACGCATTTCTCCAACTTTTTAGTATATTGATTGAACTGATAATGTAAACAATTGCAATAATTGCTTGACTTTTCTTGATTTTTCTTATCGGGAACATATGCTGCAAGGAAATAAATTCTATAATCTTATGTTGTATGGAAATAGAAGTTTACACAATAGGGAGTGATAGAGGAACCTTGATAGTTTTGTTCCTTCTCATATATCGAAAAATTCATCATTAATATGGCCGGAGAAGTTTTCCAATTGAAGAAGGACTGATCCCCAATAATCTTTTCTTACTGTCTTGATTGTGACATCTGGAATAAAGCAGTAATTAAACCATCTGTTGAAAATACCTGTTGTAACAAAACCGGATGCTTTATATATATAAAATAAAACTTTTGATTTTATTTTGTGAATTCCTTATTAGAGTAAATGATTTTTTTTCAAAAAATCAGATATATATATCGTAGTGAAATAGAACAAGAGATAATTATTGATGATTAAAATTGAGACGAGGATAAAAGTTTAGATCGTACTTAGCTTTTATTTCGTGAATGATTGGTAACAAATTTGTTCCAATAGGAGTTTCTGGTCTTCCGACCTTTTTTGGATTTAAACCAAGTTCTTGCCATTTTAATAATAATTTTTTCTACCGATGTGCAAATCTTTTGCCAATAGAATATTCAAGATATGCCGTAATATAAATCTGATTTTCATTTGGCATATCCACTTCTTGTCTTTCCATTTTTTTTGAATGAATTTATACAAATAAACTTATAAAACACAAAATTATTATTTTATAATATAAATCATAAATAATACACCCAATATGTAAAGTGTCAAAAATGAATTGAACCGAATTTTCATGCATTACAGAAATTATAATATATTTTTAAATGATAATGCAAAACAAGCTCAAAAAAGCAATGATTATTCGATGAATATTCGTGATTTATCAAAAAATCAAATTTCTGATATATTGCAGCGTTAATTTATCCATGGATAAATGATAAACATTATTTCAAACGTCCATTTTCAAAAGAATATTGAATATATTATTCAAAAAAAATTAAATACATCATTTCATTTTTAATGAATACACCTACACAAGGATTCTTTCATATATATGAAAAGAACAAGTTCCATAGGCCTGCTTCATCACAAGCATCTAGCTGTTGATGCTGGCCAGGAAGGCTCAGATAATTATTTTGATATTATCATTGCAAATCCACGGGGATATGCCATGTGAGGTGAAAATCCTCATACCACGAATGTCCGACCAAACAAGAGCTCATGATAGGTTAAGTTCTGAGGGCTCGAATACCCATTAGCCTAGACATAGTCAACAGATGATGCTATTATAGACAGAAAAAAATCTTTGAGTTATATAAAGTATCTCATTTCAATATTATACTAAATTTCTGAGATAATAGCAGGGTGTATCATATTTGTCCTATATATACGGGTGGCACATATAGTATGTGTATATTTTAAGTATTTATTTAGAATAAATTATGAGATTGTCAAATTTGATCGACAATCATATGTGTTAATATGGTGGTGTGGTTTGGATAGTTTGGGTTATATGGATCAAATGTGATCAACAGAATTAGTGCAGGATTGAGGAAAGATTGGAAATTATTTGTCCCAGTTTTCCGATCTGAGTGCACAAATGCAGGGTCTTGCCTTGGCACCCTGCATCTATGTACTCAGATCGGGAAAAGCTTGCACTTTTGTTCCGCGATGTGACATCGCGGACAAAGTTTCCGATCTGAGTGCACAAATGCAGGGTCTTGCCTTGGCACCCTGCATCTATGTACTCAGATCGGGAAAAGCTTGCACTTTTGTTCCGCGATGTGACATCGCGGACAAAGTTTCCGATCTGAGTGCACAAATGCAGGGTCTTGCCTTGGCACCCTGCATCTATGTACTCAGATCGGGAAAAGCTTGCACTTTTGTTCCGCGATGTGACATCGCGGACAAAGTTTCCGATCTGAGTGCACAAATGCAGGGTCTTGCCTTGGCACCCTGCATCTATGTACTCAGATCGGGAAAAGCTTGCACTTTGTGACACGAATGTCACATTCGAAATTTGTTTCTCGAAAGGAGTTTACAATTACAATAGACTATCCCATTATATTGTAATTGTAAACTCCTTTCGAGAAAAGCTTTCACTTTGTGACACGAATGTCACATTCGAAATTTGTTTCTCGAAAGGAGTTTACAATTACAATACACTGTCCTATTGTATTGTAATTGTAAACTCCTTTCGAGAAAAGCTTTCACTTTGTGGCACGAATGTCACATTCGAAATTTGTTTCTCGAAAGGAGTTTACAAATGCAATACACTATCCCATTATATTGTATTGGTAAACTCCTTTGTTGTAATACTTCTTTATATTAATATATCAATATCAAAATATTTCTAAACTTCCTCTAATATACTTTATTTTATGGCAGTCCCAATGGGAACCGCGGTAATTTACCGAGGTTTCCGCACACCGGTTCCTTTTTTTAGGAATTTTTTAGATTAAAAAATATGCTTTGTAATCGGCAAAAATTTGGAAATATTCTGACGACAATAAATCTGGGAATAGTATTTTAAATACGAGAACAACCTATTTAAAAGTGTTTCGCTCGATTTTGTATAATTTCAAATTTTCGCATATAGCTTTCCGTGAATTACCGTGATTTTACCGCCACATCAATAGTTTACGACACTTTTTCCGTAAATTGAGTAGTTTACTGCACTTTTTCCGTAAAATTGAGTTACGGGAATCCGTAAGATTACCGTACCTCACTTCTAGTTGAAAATAGCATTAGTATATAATAAATAGATATATTATTTATATTTTTGATTTTGAATTACGGAAAAAGTGAGTTCAGAACTTCCAATTATTATTTGATTAATTATGTTAAAAATACTATAAGGAATTAAAATACATAATGTTGAAATTTGAATTACGGAAAAGGTGAGGGTGAAAGTGAAGTGAAAAAGTAAGATATTTTTTGTTGAAATAATCATAGTTGTACAATTTTGAAACTATATGTAAAGCTATAAATTGAATAAATTCAAAAACAAAAATTGTTTATTCTTATTAATAAATTTATATTAATCAATATTTGAACAACCCGTAATTAAAATTGAATTCCTCTTAAAATTTAATCCATACGTTAATTTTTATTTTGCTCGGCGAATGCCGAGCTTCCCTACTTCGCTTGTCATTCCTTCAAAAACTCTAATCTCATCGCACTTACAAACATCATGATTTGATGTATTGTCGAGAAATCTTAGACTTGTTTGTCATTTGATTATAGCATTTGAAAGTCATCTCGAAAATCGATTAACAAGACAATTTCCCAAACATCTACATACAAGTAGATGATGGTAAACCCATTAGAGTTGTTTTGCTATGATTCCTCCAATCTTATGATGAGAAAAATCATATCAAAACAGCTCTAATCGAACATTCTACACAGCTTAGCATCCAGCTAGTTCCAAGTAATGCGATTACAACATCAACGGCCAAAGCCTTTCAGAGTCCTTTAATCATTTCTTCTCATCTCAATGTGAAGTGGCCCCAAACGAACTACAAGCTGACGTTACAACGCATTACAACCCGGTTAATACGAGCATATACATTAGAGCTGCTTTGTTATGATCTCCCTCATCAATTGATGAGATCTCATTATGAAGCAGCTCCAATCGAACTAAAAACCTACATACAAATGAGTGAAAACAAACTCATTAGAGTTGTGTTGCTTTGATTTCTCTCATCAGAAGATGAGAGATACCAGAACAAAACAACTCTAATCAAACTTTCTACACAACTCAGCACAGTATCAATGCAAAGTAATGCGTCAGTATCGTTAACAAGCAAAGTTGTTTCGGGTCCTTCCATTTTGGAAGAATTCGGAACAACTTTGCGAATTGATAGTGTAAACCCATATACATGAAAGCGTGCATGCATAAAGACAGGTATTGTCAGCAATGACTACCTGCCCAGCTATGAGTGATCAGAGAATTACCATCTCAGGCTTTTTGAGAACGTTTCAGCCAGGACCCTCGTATGTTGACTGTGAGAAAGGCATCCTTTATCTGAAATAGATGCTTTTCCAACAATCAAATTCGAAGATCTTCGACGTTGTTGTAAAAAGAGAAGGAGAAGGAAAGAAGAGGAAGGAGAGGAAGAAGGAAAGGAAAAGAAGAAGAAAAAAAAAGAAAAAAAAGAAGGACATATTAAATATAATGCGCACTTAATAGTGCCGAGGCGGCGGAGCCGCCGAGGCGCGATTTTTTTGACCCTATATTACCGCACGGCAATGTTTTTCTCGATTTTGTACAGCCCTACTTTATTTCTCATCATGATTCTAAATACTCATACTATTCAAATATAGTTTTTTTCAAATCTCTATTTTTCATATCAAAATTGTTATTTTTTCTTTCAAATTTCAAATTTTGAATTTTTTTTTGGAAATTTTTATTCAATTTTATGTTTATTTTATCATATTCTTATTATATAGTATTATTATTCATATTTATTGTTTTAATTTTTCAATGCATATGATAATTTCTTATTCAATTTTTAAACGCATAGGCTCATCCCATCAAAACATTCAATTCAAAACTCTGGCCTTCATCGAGGCCAGAGCTCGCAATTCATATTCTCAAAGCCAAGTTCCTCGACGGTCGTCCTCATTAGGCACTATCCGAGAGGAACTTGGCTTTGAATGAAAATTACAAGCTCTGGCCTCAGGAAAAGCCAGAGCTTCGCATACCATCCTCGGGGCCGGCTTCCTCAAAGACCGCCCTGATTCGGGGCGGCCGGAGAGGAATCCAGTCCCGAGAGAACGTCCCTACGAAGCTCTGGCCTTTACTGAGGCTAGGGCCCGCACAATACATCCTCAGGGCTGAGTTTTGCGAAGATCGTCGATCATGTCGACGGTCTCGCAAGAACTCGGCCCTGAAAGACATACAAATACAGGCTCTGGCCCAAGCAAAGGCCAGGGCTTCGTTTTAAATACCCAGGGCCGGCTTTCTCAAATGCCGCCCTTATCCCGGGCGTCAGGAGAGGAATCCGGCCCTGGGAGCAACCAAATACGAAGCTCTGGCCCAAGCAAAGGCCAGGGCCAGCACAATTCATCCTCAGGGCCGAGTATGAGGGAGATCGTCCACATCATTGACGATCTTCTCTCATCTCGGCCCTGAAAGAGAGAAATATACAGGCTATGACCTTTGCTAAGGCCATAGCCTCGCTTACAATCTACTTTGCCGAATTCCGGGAGATCCTCCAAATCACGGCGCTTTTCCCTGAGATTCGGCAAAAGCATTTAAAATACAGCTACTGAAAGCCAAGAAGGGGGTCCTGACCTCGAGAAAGGGCCCCCTTCCTGGCCTTTCTGAGGAACTTTGGTTCGCATTGCGAGTGTCTGCTGCATCTTTGGATTGGAGCAGCAGACACTCGCAATTTTGGATCATCACAAGTGCATTTGTGATTGAAGAATGCACTTGTGATGACTTTGGTGCAATTTCGAGAGAATTCTCTATTGATCATGATAAGTGCACTATAGCATCATATGTGCACTTACCATGATCAATAGACTTATTCTCTCGCTGCATTCGCCGAAAGAACAAGAAGACATTCGCAATCACATCTCAACTTGAATAAAACTTTAATATTTCTTTATAATAGTACTCTACTCATTCATAAATTCACCAATAATATGTTGTGACACAATTTTTATATTTATATTTAGATATTTGAATTAGTTATATAAGATGTCATACTATAAGTTGTGAGATATTCATATATTACATATATACTATTGTTATATAAAGGCTATATAATATGCGCATAAGAATATTTTATCTAAATATTGATTTCTGATAAATTTATAATGTGAATAACTTGGGTCCAAAAATATTTTCCCTTCATTGTTATACGAATAGATGCGCACATATATAGGGCATCTGACCCTAAAAGATTAGGTCTGAATATCAATCTTTGTCCATTCATAATGAAAAAAAGGACATTCGTGGTATGGAGAAATTTCACCTCACATGGTAATCCCCCCAAATCCACGTTCGAATCTTCCACGATTAGTGTATGATAGCGTTAAAACTTTTGCCGACGAATTGCGAAAGGCACTAAATAAATTGATCTCGGATGGTTTCATCATTACAGGCATTGTAAGTGATAATCTACGTACACAGATCAATACAATTCAAGAAACAATAAAGGATTTTCCTGGAATCGTTCATGTTCCATGCGGCTGTCACACACTCCAGCTTGCTCTTGAAGATGTTGACATTGAGTTTGACATAAACAGTGCCAAAGAAGTCATGGAGTTGGGTCTCTAAGTTCTTCAATAGAAAACATGCACATAATTTAATGGAGATTGCACCTCTTCGCCGGTGTCCGACAAGATGGAGTAACCTATTCGCAATTGCTGAATGAATTGTAGCTAATCGTGATATTTTGATCCAATTTTGATCCACTGGACGTGCATATTATATAAAAGATTTCCAAGATGAGTCCATGGAACAATGGGAAACAACAATCAATGCAGTTGTCAAATCAGCTCCTCTACTTTACTGCTTACTACTTCCATTTGCCAAGATGACTGAGATCATTAAAGGCGATCACATCGGCGCTTTTGAAATTCATGGTTTTATGATGAGTGCAATTGGTGTACTTCGCTCAATTGTTGATCAATTCAGTTTTATTGCACCATACGCAGCCCAACTTATTGATTGTGTCTGTAATAGATTAAATTCAAAAGCATCTGGTCTTCTCTTAAATATAATGCATGATCTCAGTCCAAAAGGAAAGGAGGTCAACATCAAATTGTACAGTTTAAATGAAAGCGCAGATTCATATGAGAGAGACAAGATTTGGCTTGCATACTATCCAATCGAAATCACTGAAAAAGAGCAGAATCTTCTAAACCTTTGTTGCGAAAATGTTAATCTTGAAGATTCCATCAAAGATTTCATACTTGAAGGTTTTGAAGAAGGAAAGCATGAAATGGAAGCTGAAGAAGCTGCGCACAATGGAGAATCTCATCCATTGAGAGATCCTGCACCACACTTCGAACATCCAGTTGAAAGGGAATATCCAAATCCCGCTGCTCAAAGTACAGAGGAACGTATTATTGTAACAGAAAATGCACCATTTGCACATGAGCCGGACTTACCAACTCCATCCACACGCAAGAGACAACTTCAAATTATTGATTTCTTTTGCAACCTACCACATCCTGTGGATACGCCTGGTAACACTACACCTCTCTTGGTTGGTCCCCCAGGCCCTGAACTTGGATCAATTCTTGACGACCAACCACCTCTTGTTTTTCCATCAAGAACGATATTAAAATGCAAATATAAGCATACCATTATGCAGTAGTTTGCGAACATATACTATGCTGATGAAAGTTGGTCTCTAATTCGAAACATGAATCTGTCAAATTGACGTTCCATCTTATTTTAATCGATATTCAATACAAATGAATTGGTATTATAATAGTATCGACTATAACTAGGTATATTATCGCAGAATTACTTCAATTTATTTTAATATTTCATCATTTTTTAGTTTCAATGCTGATTTGTTCTTTATCTTGTAAACTATAGTTATTTTATATCTTCGGGTATTATCCTATTCAATTTGCAATTTGCTTCTTTTATTAGAAAAATTATTGAAACAAATCCGAATTATGCATATAACTTTGATGAATCTAATATCGAAGTTAATGAGAAATCGGTGAAAATTATTCATAGAGGAGAAGCACCAGTTGTTGAAATTAAGCATCATATTTATAATTCCAGCTTTTCATAAGAATAAGTGATTATTCATGCATGACTTTAATTCTGTTGACGAAAATAGGTTAGGGTCAAGTTTTTTGTTTAAGTTTGAAAGATAATATTGTAAATATTGATATTTCTTAGTAAAGTTAAACTTATTTTATGCATACTAAGTAAGTTACATGGTAATCGTTACAAGTTTTGCCGGAAAAATTGCCAAATATTAATGATTGGAGGACCAAATGCGTTATTTATGTATTCTGATATGAAGTGGATTATAATTGAGTTTAGTCATTTTTTGTGTTTAGTCATGGGCTATAGCCCATACGAATATCATGTTTTTTAGAATAAAAAAGTGACAAAAATTCCACAAAATTAGCAATTTATGGGTGTTTTCAGAAAAATGCGAAGGGAATGTTGGCGACCGAGCATTTATCTGAAAATGCCCATAAATTCGCAATTCTGATTTCAAATGTGAATCGCAAAAATTTTGGGGCGTACGATAAATTTATCGTCAAAAAATAAAAAATCATATACACATGAAATAAAAAAAAAAGGTATTGGGGCTTCCAGGGCTGCGCCCCTCTAGCCCCGAAGATGTTTAGTATAAAACCGCTTTTTAACTTCACTTAAAATGCCACGTAAGCTACGTAAGAATATACGTAAGAGGAAGAGAGCATTGAAACATCCAATAGTAAGACTAACACCACAACAACAGTTGCAACAACAAATGCTGAATGACCCCACTATGTTGCAACAAATGTCAAGCAATCCTATGCTTTTAAACCGAGTCATTGGTGCACAGAGTGGAGGTTTAAGAGCGGCACTTTTAGCGAAAATGGCAGGCTATGGTGGAGCTGCAGACGGAACAGCCTATAACCCTCAAAGTCAAATGAATTTGAGTTCACTCAAAAATCAAATAACAGATGTCAAAAAGTCAAACATAGACATACAGAAGCAAATAAGTGAAAACGAAAAGAAACTAGAATATGACAGACACACAAAGAAACTCAATGAGTTAAACGTAGAGAAAAAGAAGAAAGAAGAACAACTGAAAGAACTAAGTACAGAGCAATATGCGAAAAAAGTGTCAGAAAAAGCAGCAGAAGTAGCAAAAATGGAACAAGATGTCATAAATTTGAAAAGCCATACTACTCAATATAAAGTACTGAAAGATGAAGAGATAAAACAAAAAGCCCTGAAGACATATATGGATAGCGATGAGTATAAAAAAGAAGTTGAAGCAAATGTAAAGGCAGAAAAACTTTTACAGTTGCAAAACCAAACCGTACAGTATGAAAACTTAGCACAAGAAAGTAAAAATAACGACGCAGCCATGCAAAAGGCAATGAAAAGTGCAGAATATATAAAAGCTAACAATGACTGGTTAGATGCCCAAGCCAACGCTAAAGCAGCCCAGCTTATAGGGTCAATAAGGACAAAAATACAAGCGGATGAAGACAGTTCAAATGAAGCTTTAACAAATGCTGACTTTAAGAACGCCTTCGAAGCTCTTCATAGTAAGGTGAAACAAGTGAACGACTTCTCATCTGGAAAGAAACTGAAGTCTGAATGTTTCGACAAAGAGTTAAAAGAAGTAGCACAAAATATGACGAAAATAACAGATGCAGCAACGAGACAGGCAGTTCAAAGTGCCTATGACGCCGTTAGAGCAACTGTTGTGAAAAGTCAAGAAAAAGAGTTACAACAGACCAAAACAGACCTAGTAAATGCTTTCTTAAAAACGAAAAGTCAGGTAGGACATTACGCTGCAGATGGAACATATGTGCCAGCTGGTGGAACTTATATACCAGCTGGTGGAACTTATATACTAGCTAGTGGAACTTATATACCACCAAACCCTCCAAGAGAAGCACCTGCACCAGGACTACCTAACACATTTACATCGTCACATGGACATAGACACAGGCATGCACCAAAACCAACACAACAACCACCTCCACAACCAACACAACAACCAGCACAACAACCACCTCCACAACCAACACAACAACCAACAGTTCAAAACCCTGCACAACAACAACCACAAACAGAGCAAGGACATAAAAGAAGTAGAGAACAAGGAAACCAAGAATTCTTAAAAATGCTTAAAGAAGACTATGGTTACCCAGATAGTATTGACTTTAGTGACAGATATAAAGAAGCTATTAGAAAGTTCAAGGATGGAAATACTGACCCGAACCTATTTAGCTTTATGGCTCTGCACCAAAGGGGATATAATCTCAAACCTGGAAAATACAAGCTCGCTAAGGGATATGATTTAATAGCATATCATCCAAATGACATGGATGAATTTACTCCGAGATATTTGATGTCAGAGCTAAATGACAATTTAACTCTCTTCATGAAACGCGTAAAAAATAGAGACGGAACGAAAGAAGAAAGGTTTGTGAGTCCGGATGACTTAGAAAGGGAACTTTTTAAAAACGGTCTCGGAATATATGAAATGCCACCAGATGAGGTACAAGAAACTCCACAGGAAGAAGTTCAGATACAACCAGACATGGAAGAAATAGTTCAGCAACAACAGCTAGAAGAGCCTGAAGGAAACGAACAAGTCACTCCTTTGGAAACTAACTTCACAGAACTAGATGAAGATTTGGAACAGCCGAAAAATCTTGACCCTCAACAAGAGTATGCGGAGAATATGGAATATTTCCAAGAGTCTAAAAAAAATTCGGCTGACATAGTAGAAGAATATCGAAAAATGTTTGCCGACATACAAAAGACTCCAACACCAGATGAAAATATTCAGCATAGAATGGAAGTACTGAAAGAAAATGTACACAAATACAACAACCCTTTTTACTTACGAGCATTTAACGTTCAATCTTCGGATGAACTCGGTGAAAATAAAAGGTTAAATTTCAAGAAAACATATAGAAATGAAACATTGTTTAAAGTTCATTCAGAACCTAACCAAGATGGAAACAAACCTACTTTTGTTTCTGCAGACGATGGAACTACAATGAGATGGGGTCATAAAGCTAATCCGGATAGGTGGTTCATAAACTTACAACCTCAATTCCAAGAAGTTGTAGACGCAATGGAAGTCAATGGTGAACGAGACATAGCTGGTATTTTAAGCGCGGCTTTAATGCCATTGAAAGATATGAAACATGCAGATATTTTGGACCAGTATGAAATGAACATGGCTGATGGAAATATAACACCTGACGTTCTAAAACATTTATCTCAAAGAACTACACAGAACCATAAAGATGGTATATTTGGTGAAGAGTTTAGAAAGAAAGTTAGGGAGGGAGAAGGAAGAGAACCTATTGTACATGACCTTGCAAACGAAAGTTTACAAAATGTCATAAAAACTTACTTTGCAGACGAATGAACTGAGAAGGGATGAATATTTAAGAAAACTCAAATGGACAGTACCAAATGAAATGTTAGTATTGAAAAACATGTTCCTTGACAAAATAAAACCAACTACAGAAATAAATGACGCAAGACTGAAAGATTGGGTAAAAGCTTTCCCATTCACAAAAGATATTATTGGTAACATGGAAAGAAAACCAGAATGGCTACAAAAACATATATTTGGAAACGAGCTTATTCCATATGGACAGGCACTGTTTGAAGAGCTTGAACCGGAAACTCAGGACAGAGTCATGCAAACAATACGCGAAGACTCAAATACAAACTATGACAAACTCTTTCTAGGATATAGGTTACCTGAGATGGGCGACCAGAGCCCAAAGGCAAAAAGGACATGGGAAATTTACAACATACTAGGTGAACATGAGGCAAAGATGCAACAACTTGAAGCAGAGGGCAAGTTACCAAAGCGACACCAAAGAAGAAGAGAAGAGTAGAACAAAGTGAAAGTAGTGAAGAAGTAACTTCATCTAGTGAAAGTAGTGGCAATGAAGGAAAAAGAAGAGTTAAAAACTCAGTCAGGAAGAAAGTAAAGCTTGGTCCACGTGGGTTCTATTATGACATATAAATCCAACTATTCTATATTTTTACCATATGAAATGTACGCCGCTCAGAATATAACGCCAACAGTTTTGGATGCCATGAATGGAAATGTTTCCGAATGGTATAACGAATGCGACAATGCCATTAGAAGGTCAGAAATAGTTCCTGGAACTTACGAATATACAACTGCTGTTTCTTATGGAAACGTAGGTGAGTTTGGAGAAGGTTCTTCAACAACAGTAGATATTGCTTGCGACAGGTTTCATATAATTTCTATTGACAACTCTTTCTTATACGTGGAACAAGACATTGAAATAAAACCTTCTGCCAAGTTGTCTGACAAGAAAGGTTGCAATGGAATTTTCTATGTCGGATACCAATATGCTCCAGAAGTTTTCATGGGATATAAGATATATTCTAACTCTGACTTAGTTCAAACAGTAACATGGGCAAACTATGAATGGTTCGCTTTGAGAAACTCAGTACAACCACAAGCTAGAGAACAAACAGACCAGTATGCAACTATTGAGAAAATAAGAAGACTTGACCCTAACGTTCCAGGAGTTTATGTTACCTTTCTGGACAAACTGCAGCAGCAGTAACCAAAGTAAAATTGAAACTTAGAGTTCCTTTGTCATCTTTCCTCAT